TTCTGTTCTGTAAATAAACTTTAATGTATTAAAAAATATTCTTTGTTTTACTGTTAACCATTTCAATGTTTCTATCATTTCTGATATATGTGTTCTTGGATGTACTTTAAGTATCAATCTCATGATTCTGTTTTGAATTTTTTGCATGTCTTTAATTTGCGAATCATTTAAAAGAAACAAAACTGTTGAGCAGTAATCTATGTGTTGTCCTATTAGAGATTTGTAGAATGTTACTTTGCTATAATTATTTAATTTTTTGTCGCATCTTTTTAAAACATAAAATTTTTTCAACATTTTCTCACAAACATAATTTTTATGCGATTCAAAATTTAGTTTTTGATCGATTATCACACCGAGACATTTAATTTCTTTGACGATTTCTATAATCTGGTTATTTATTTTTAATTCACTGTGATGTTGAATTGATCTTTTTTTAGTTATTATCATTGTATTGGTTTTTTTAACATTAATACATAATTTATTTGCACATAGCCATTTAAATATTTCTTCAAGATCTTAGTTCATGTTCATCATTCCTTCATCTATGTTGTCACAGGAAATATACAGCAGTGTGTCATCAGCAAATAAATATATGATTTGAACCATCTTTGGGCATTATCCTTGAAACCGTATTTAACTAATTTTTTCATAAAAATATCACGATCGATAGTTTCAAATTCTCTTTTAAGATCCAATGAAACGACAATTACACTTTGATGTTCATTAATCATATTCTTCCATTCACATATCAGATTAGCTATTGATGATTCGCATGAGTGATGTTTTCGGAATCCTGATTGTTCGTCTATGATTAAATTATTATCTTCTAAGTATTGTATCATCTGATTTTTTATTATTTTTTCAATAACTTTTTCAATAATTGTTAGTTTGTTTATCGGTCTTTTGTCTTCGCATTTAATCGAGTTTTTAACTTTTTCAATTGGATCTATTAATGATGTTTTAAGACATTCAGGAATTTCTCCAATTTTCAGTGATTCATTTACAATTGAACAAAATTTTTTTAAGATATCCCTTTTTTAACAAAAATATAGGTACCTTATTTAAAAAGTTGTCATCGTTGTTAAATCTGATTAATTTTCTTGAACTTTAATTCGTATTCATGTCATTTGAATATGAAAACAAAGAGAAATCAAAACTTTCATTGCAATTTTGGAATTAAAACAGTTTGATCTTCATCTCATTTCGATGTATCCAACAAATCAAAAAGCTTTTAAAAGCTCTGTCCAGTTTTTCTTGCAAAACTCTTTGGAATATATCATATCAAAAGATTCTTTTCCATGACCAACTTTAATTTTCAACAATAAAAGACTTTGATGAATAATAAAAACCAAATTAAATACCTTGTAAAACAGATTCCTTAAAAGTTTCAAGTTATAAAGCTTTTTTTATCTCCAAGCCTCTGCTTTCAATGATTGTTCATTGTGGTACTATTTAATAACTCTTTTTTTAATAAGCAAGGTAAGCGGCAGTCTTTATTAAAATATTTACATAAATAACAAATTGATTAATGATCCCAGAAGTGTGACTAAGTTTTGTTAATTTCAAACAGAAGAAGAAATTTATAAATAAAAGGAGAAAAAGGTATTCGGGAATTTTAAATTAGCTCAATATTACAGAAGTGTCAAGTCCCGAGCGATCTCATGCAGAGTTAAGAAAATTGAGAATAAAGAGAGACTGACCATACAGCGACATAAAGAGATTTAAAGTGGGGATTTTTTTGTCTTATAAAAACTTTGGTGGAATCACAAAATTAAAACAGTTTTGCTTGAAATTTCCATCGACCTCAGTTTCAATTAACATTATATTTTTCTTGTTTTCGTTTGTTATCAATTTCAATTTCTGTTAAGGTTCAAGTGTCAAAATATCAAAATGAAGCTATTGGCAATATTACTTGCTTTTATTTGTGGATTTGTGGTTACAATAGGTACAGAAAAAGCTTCAAATAACAAAATACTCTACTCATAGTGATAAAAAAAAAATAGTTTCGTTTGTTTTGCGATTTTTATTATAATTATTCGATAGAAACTTATAAGTATGCATCCAAGTATGTTAGGTATCAATGACCCATAACTGTCATTGGATCTGTGAGTGTATGGAAAAGAAAAGAAGAGAAGAAGATATTCTGGATTAAGCAGTCAAAAGTTAAAGCTTTGTTGTGTTTTCATTATCACTGCATAGCAAAATTTCCAAGTAAACCGGTTGACGTATCGGCAGGTTCGAAAATTCCCATTGCATCGTTTGAATGTTTTCGAGAATGCTGATAAAGATTAATTTCCAATAAGTACTTTATGACGAAATATTACTTTAATATTTGCAGAATTTAATTTCTTGTTTTGCATCCAACAACTTCAGCTTCCTTATCTTTTGTGTATTCTTCACACGTACACCATAGAAATGTTTATAGTCTGAGCGTCGTACTGTTTTCACAGACCTTACCTACACGGCTCATGTTGTTAAAGTGTGTAAATATATTCCATTAACAGAGGCCTTCAAACTTTATGACTATTCCTTCTCCACAAGTAATTTCTGTGTTTTATAGAAGAATCTTGAAATTCTAATGGGGCAAAAAAAAAATAAGTTGATAACCTCTTGAGTCATTTCATCAGAAATATGTTCAAATGCTTTAATAGATAATTTAAAAATTAAAATATACAAATCAATGTGAGAAAAAAAAATCCGAACTCGTGTTTTCTTCTTCATTTATTCTTGTGTGGGTGTAAAATTATTTGGGCTTTTCCCATTTTATTATTCACACAATAAATAAATTAACTAAAGTAAATAAAAAGGGAATAACAAATAATTTTATTTATCAACAGAAAGTTACAATCCACATGATGCTGCAAGAGCTTTCTTTACTATTGATGCTAATGGCAACCCAATGCCAATTCGTCCAATTGTCTCTGTAAGTTATTCTTACAAATCCAAAATCACAATTAATTAACTTTCCATTAATCTCTTAAGGAAACATTGAAACGTGATCGTCGTCAGATCCAACCATTTGGTACACCAAACTTCGGATTTCAACCACTTCAATTCCCTCAAATTCAACCAGGACAAGGACAAGGATCGTTTGTTTCAAACTCAATAAGCAGTCGTTTCGGCGAGGATGGGGTTCAACAGGAAACACATGTGGTCCACAGCAGCGACGGACAAAACTACCAACAAACCAACACTTATGTTCGTCCTGATGGCACCGTTTATTCAAACAGACAGTCAGGTGATTCTTTCATAAATTATCAAATTTTTCGTAAGAGCATGCAAACGTAACTAATCAATGATAAACAAATACGTAATCTCCTAAAGAAAACAAAGTTAGACAGTTTTAAAAATGAATCGTAATTTTTATAAGTCATGAGAAAAAACTTCTGCATAGTTGCAAAAAAAATTGTAGGATTTAAAGAAAGTTTAGAAAAGTTTTCAGCATGTAAATGAAATTGGAATACGCGATTAAAATAAAAAATTTGAGACGCATGTATCTGCATATATATTTATAATATGTAGATTGGGGTTAGTTGGTTAGTATATTAAGATCTGAACATTTTCAGTAACCGTGTGTTACATTTTTTCAGGTCGCTATCCCAGCGGAAAGTAATCACTTTTCACATTAAGCTGTTTTGTTGTTCATCCTTAATTTCTTGAAATATAAGTAAAAATTACATGCTTACGAGAAGATTTCGATTGTACTTTTATGATATGAAATAAAATCAGATTTGTACATAACAAAATACACCGGTATTCAAAAAAACAAAGAAAAAACTGCAAAGAAAAAGAAAAGAAAACGTTCATAAATATTTTGCCAATTCGAATAATCTTTTTAGGTCGCCTTAAGCGTCAGACACAGACACAGATACAATCTCAGGACGGCGAAGGTGGGGAACAAAGTCAAACTCAATCACAAAGTTCACCAGGTGGTACACAATTCCAAAGTCAAAGTCAAGGACAAGGCCCAGACGCATTGACAGCAGCTAATCAACCAAAACCACCAACCAGTCAACCAATCTCATCTGTTGTCCCACTTGAAAACAAGAAAAAACCAAGTGCTGTTCCTGCCCAGAACAATCAGATACCAGCAGCAACACCAGCACATCAAGGAAATCCTGACACTGAAAGCAGAAATCCTCAAAATTATCCGCAACAAGGTCAAAATTATCCACAACAGGGTCCAAACTATTCACAACAAGGTCCAAACTATCCGCAACAAGGATATCAACCAGGAGTTGGAGGTCCATTTATGTCACCATTTGGACCTTTCCCACAAGGTTTCCAACCACAAGGACCCTTCGGACCATTTGGACCACAAGCTGGCTTTGGACAAGCTGGTTTTGGACAGGCTGGTTTTGGACCCCAACCAGGATTCGGTTTCGGGAGTAAGACGAGAATTAAGAAAATTAATTCTTTTATAACATAAATTTTCATTTCATTCATTAAGATCCTTTCCTTTTCCAACAACCAGGCTTTGGAGGTGTCGGCCCTATTCAACCGGGACCAGGAACCCAAACGACATTCACAGGTACGACACAAACTTTAGATAATAGATTTGGGGAAGATTCGCCTGTTGTCACTGGGGGAACTCAAACCATCACTAGTCAAAATGGAAATTTTCATGTTACTACAAGTGTCTTGAAGCCTAATGGCCAAGTCGTCACAACTCAACAAAGTGGTAAAGTTCCATCAAAGAAAAAGAACTGAAACTCATACAATCACATTTCAACTTAGCTTATTTAATATTCTATGCGATATGTGAAGCTTCATCAAATAATTTATTTAAAATCATAAGTAAACATCGAAAACGTTGCGAGTTTTTTTCAAGAATAGAAATGTTTTCGACTTTTACTCCATTAATAATTTATACCTAATTAATTATCTTTTTATGACATTTGCTTTTCTTAAATCACTGATGTTGGTTTTTATCTGAATATTTATGAGTCATTTAATGAGTCATCATTTCATTACCCATACTTATAACGAATTTTAACAATAAAGAATATTTCAAACGCATGATTACATTTTTCTATTCTTTTCACCAATTCATCATAAAAGAATGCAATCATTGGTTCTTCTTATTGGAATGAATTTAATATGCATGATGGGCCTTTTTAGCGTCCGAAAACGTTGAGTTCATCTTGTTTATATTATAAATATAGGAAATAAATTAGACTCCAGATTTGGAGGTGATGATGTGGGTGTTAGCGGGGGAGGTACCACAACATTCACTAGTGGCAATGGAGTTTTCCATTCCACGTCAACAATTATTGGACCTGACGGAAAAGTCAGAACTCAAGAAAACAGAGGTAAACATTATACATACATAGATAACAAATTATATTCCAAAGCAATTTAATTTTCTTCTTTTTACGAAGGAAACTCGCTTGATTCTAGATTCGGAGGTGATGACATGATGGGTGGTCCATTCCAATCTGGGGGAGGCACAACATCATTTACTAGTGGCAATGGAGTTTTCCATTCATCTTCAAGTATTCAAGGTCCTGATGGTAGAGTCGTAACTCGGCATCAAAGTGGTAGAACTTATTAAAAAGTTAACATTTTTATAAAACCAAAAATGATGTAGCTAAATATATGCTGCAAAACATAAATGAATGATGGAAAACTTTTGATTGTTTTTTCAGCGTTGCATTTTATTTTTATTTATTTTTTGTTCATTGAATTATTAATTTTTACAAGGAGTGTGTATGTGTGTGTTAGATAATTGTTTGTTTTGCTAAAAATATCCTTGGTTTTGTAAAATTTTAAAGATGCCAATACGGTGTTGAAATGGATATCAATAATCATTATGGACACAAAAAGCCTTTCTTTTAATTATATTATGTTGTGTCCTTTTAAGCAATGATTATAGTCATGCAACAGACAAAAGAATCCGTCACGCTTTCAAATGACAATTAATTATATATGCACGTGAAAAGCAGTTCCAAATATTATTTTATCATGTTTTTCATTAAAATATTCTCACTTAAGAAGTTCTACAATTGAACATTTTTAAATCATTTAATTATACTTTTTCTTATTTCAAAAGCTTTTAAAGTATCAAATAGAATAGAAGTGCCTTCTTCATATTTTTATTCAAAAGCAATAATTATTCAAAATTTTATTCAAGTGATTTTTAGGTTTCTTTCTTTAATATCAATTTAAAAGATTTTTGAAATAATGATCTTTATTTGACTATACATTGCACTCGAATACGTAAACTTCAAAATTGTTTTGATCAAAATGAATAAAAACCAGAAAGTGATGAGAATTTTTTATTTCAGAATTGCAGTCAAAGAAGATTTTTCGCGAATTTTGTCTTTAAAAAAACGAAGAAATTTAAATTTTGTGGATATTTTGTAATGATTCTATGAGATATTTAATTCCCTTCCGGGCTTAAAGTTTAAGCAGATAAATATCTAAGCAAATTGCAAAATGTTCTTCTCGTTCTCGCTTTTTATCTGCAAGAGTTATACTACCTCACTTTTCACTTAATATATTTTATAAATAATGCAAATTTTTACTGTTTTGAGCAAAGCGATTTTCATGAAACAAATCGATGGCAAGCAAGTTGCTCTCGCAATTAAAAAAAATCTGCGGTTTTTTTTACTCACAAAGAGAAAACATTTTTCTATTCAGATCTTGTTTTAATGTTTTAATATTTACAATACATACGTCAATAAAAGAACAAGAACTTTCTTTCTTTCTTTTAGCGGAATCCTTAGGAAAAATGTTTGTCTCAAAGCAAATGAAAAAATGTAATGTAACAAGTTCATGTTTAGTTCATTTTTGGAAGAGAAAAATATAGAAATATATCTATCAGAAAATAAGGAAAATAAATGAAATATGGTTGTTTGAAAATATAAAATCTCTCATTTCGTTTGATTCTTCTTAAGGACGATTTGAAGTATTTTTATGTATTTAGATAGAAGACTTAATAAAATAAAAATTCATGTTATCTTTTCATAACTAAGTAATGTTCAATGATCACTACTGTACCCGACAACTTTTAGCAGACATTCCATCATTCATTTAACGACATTCCCATATTTTGATCGTCTGATCTACACTACCGGAAATAACGTAAGGATGCGATTTATGCATATCTATATAAAAAATAAATATTATTAATAGAAAGAAAGAAAGAAATAAAGAAACAAACCTAAAGAAGTACAGAAGTGAGAGTGAGCGTTTAATGTCTTCATACATCTCTTATTACGAATATCCCAAATGCGGATTGATTTGTCATCACTGGCCGTCAACATATATTTACCACCGGGATGAAAAGCTATGCCACGCACCTAAAGTTAAATGATAAGAAAATTTCGTTCTCTTCTCATATGAAAATTGATGACTTACCCAATTATCATGTCCGTAAAGTGTAAACAAGCACTGTCCAGATGTTACGTCCCATACTTTAATAGTCTTATCACGTGAGCCAGAGGCTAAAAAAGGTCCTTGATGCGTTCCCTTTTTATTATCTGCTCCAGCTGCTTCATTAATCGCAGCCGAAGCTGTCTCTGGTGCCCATGCAATACACTCAACAGTGTGGTCATGTTCACGCAATTCATTCTTCGATTCTTTGGAACTGATGCACCAAATACGCACCGAATGATCGTTACTACACGAAGCCATCAATGAACCGTCGACGTTTACTCGGATCATTCGAACCCATTCTCGATGTCCCGTGTAGGTTTTCACACAATATCCTGTTGACACTTCCCACATTTTGATCGTTTTATCTCTTGAACCCGATAACAGAAAATCTCCAGCTGGTACAAACGCGACAGATGACACGTTATGGTCATGTCCATGCATTGTTTTGATGCATTCAAATGTTTGCGTGAAATCCCATAACTTTATTGAGAGATCGGAGCTGCACGAAGCTACAATAAAAACGATTTTAATTACCTTAATTAAATTGTAAAAGCATTCAAATACAAACCTAGTAATTTTCCTTGTCCATCAAATGCAATGTCTTGAACAGAATCAGTATGTCCTTTGAGCGTCCTTTCATATTCACCGGTTTCAAAGTCCCAAACTTTAATCGTAGCATCTTCAGACGCTGAAACCATCATGCTGAAGATTGGATGAAAAATCACCCGATTAACTGTTGCACGATGTCCTGAAAGTTTGAATTTTTCAGGATGACGTGGAATCCATTCTGTTGGTGTTCGTTTTGCTTTTGTAGGTGCACCTTCAATCAGTTCTTTTTCAGTCTCACTAAGCTTTGATTCCAGCTCCATGACTTTCTTCTGTAATCTTATGACTGAAGTCCACTTTTTCTCTAACAAACCTCGATATTTTCGTTCAATTTCAGTTGGGACTTCGGCTTCTTTCCGGAAAATGTCGAGTGCTTCACTATATCCATTGCTGTCTAAATAATCGGCGATCGCTTGGTTACTAAAAAAAAGAAATTTTTATTCCAGTCATGAATTCTACGGAAGAGAAAATTCAATGTGCCAAAAGAAATTTTTCAACGAAGGGAAAATAAAAATCGATAATTTGACCTCAAGAGAAAAGGAGGAAAAGAAAATTCATGACATTTTCCACTGCCTGTCTTATTTTAATTCGAGTTTTTTTGCAATTAATTTATTCATACGTAGTTGTTTTCGATAGTATCGATTTGGTATTAAAAAGCTTTGTTTTGAAAGGGAGATTAACTTAATACAATTAGGTATTTCTTCTAAAAATTTTGATTCTTATTAGACACTTAATTGTAACAATAAGAGTCAAATGTGGACATTAGACATGAGAATACTTACAGCTCCTCGCGCTGCCGCTGAGACAACACCATTTTCATGTTTTACCCAAAAAAAGAAACGAAGTGCTAAACTTTCTTCTAACTTCTCTCTAGACTGATTTTATTTTTCGTCCTGTTAAAGCTCCACCAGCCAAAGGTCAGCGTCTAAAGAAGAAAATTTTTATTTATTTAAACAAAGCTTTGAATTTTTTAAATATTTTGTCGTCTAAAGTATTTGATTTTGGCCTTGATTAGTTTTTTATACTTCTGTATATATGCGTCTACACTTTAAATATGGTAGCCATAATACTCTTATTTTGTTATGGAATGATACAAATAATTTTCATTACCAACATGCATTTGCAGATTTAACTTAATAAAACTGTCTTTATTTGATTTTCCCAATATCTAGGTATGAAGTTATTTAAATTTAACATTTATATGAAGTATTTTTCTACCAAAATTTGAGACACAAAGCAAAGAAAGTAATTTAAATTGTAACTTTTTATAAAAAAAACTATAATTCACTTTTATTTCTTGATAAATCTCCCAACAATTCAGAGTTTTATTGTAACGATTATGGATAGTTAAATGTAAATGAGGAATATTTAAATCTTGGCTTTAAAACAAACAAACGAAATGTTTCTTAAGTCAATTGCGTCATTGGTGAACATTGATATTTATGAAAATTTTTCATATTTTTTCTCCAAAGGAGAATGTTATTTTAAACACACTTTTCTTCTTAATAAGCTTCCATAACAGTTCCTGTTGAAATTTTATGTAATTTTGGATGTTTAGTACTATTTTTACAAGTTTCATCACTCTCGAAAAAAAAAAATCACAAGTTGAAAAAATAAATCGTTTGCAACTGAATGTGTCATCATCATCAACTTTAATTTTTGAGAATACATATTAATAATTCAATTTACGAAAGAATAAGATCTTTATATATCAAATATGGACAACAGTATGTATAGATAGTGAGACAAGCAGTAAATAGTAGATATATAAGTCGCGTCTTAGTCGATTTTATTATTTTTCACACTTTTTAAACCATATTTTATTTTGAACAATGTAGTTTATAGGTCGTGTTTACTTTTTCAATTTCTCAGAGTTTTCACTTGTGAAATCTTATACTTACTAATAATAAAACCTTTTCAAAGAACTGTGATCTCAAATATTTAATTAAAACCTTTTTCAGTTTTCAATGCAATAGAAGTAAATTCGACTGGTTCCTTCAGTTTTTTTTTTAAGTTTCGATCACTGGTAATATTACCCTTTTCGGAATCGAGAAAATTCTTCAAGCTTATTTGTCCGTCTGACCATTTGAAATTTAAACACGAATCTCCTGGAGAAAAAATTAAATGTACCTACCTAATAAGGCTTTTTAAAGTCATGTCATTTTAAGGGAAATATTTTATAATTATGATCTGGAAATGACAATATGTTTGACAAACAAATGACTGCAGTTTCATTGGAAACGCTATGAATTGCAACATTGTCACCAGATTTCAAGAGAAAATGTTGGAAAGGCTCCAATCTCAACGGTTCACAATTATTGACGTTTTTTTCATTTTTTCACTTTTTTTTTTCATTCACACACAAATTAATTTCACTTTTCAACAAAATTCCCTGATCATAAAAGAAATTTTTTAAAATTTTAATTCATTCAAAAATTTATAATTTTTTCCTTACCATTGAATAATTCTTAAAAATTTTCGCTGATGTATGTTTATTTGCATTTATCTTAAGATAGAAATTAATACCGTTGATGTAAGCATGAGACACTCCATCTTCGACGCTGTTAAATTTTAATTCATCAATTGAGTCAAGAATTGAGACACTTTCTGTCAATAATATTAAACTATAAAAATTTTTCTCTCCTTCTTGTTCAGCAATTTGTCTAATGAATTTTGAAAATTGATGATGAAGTAAAGGCTTTCGTTCTATCTTAACATTTTTAACTTCATTCGATGTTTCGTTAGCTTCAACTTCACTTTCAGATTACGAATCAGCTTTCTTAGTTCTTAATTCCATTTCAGTTGTCTGCTCTCCCCATCGATGTCTTCTTTCTTTAAACCAGAAGGATTCTGATAAGATTCAATTTCTGGTGGAACAGATAAAGGATTATCGGTAAATTGTGAATTAGGTATGACTTTGAGTTTTAGATTTTTCATTTTCTGTTGAGATTTCCTCAACTTCATAATTATCCTGTGGCTGTGTTTTAGTCGATTGCGCATTGTTGGAATTAAGATTTTGTTGATCATTCATGATTGTATTCAAGATCTTAGGACGACAAAATTTTCTTGGCGCACTCTTGGCTGTATCTATGTATGTAGTGTTGCTGCACGAGATAAAACTTCTACTGCTGCTTGTTGTTGAAATTTTTTCATCTTTCTACCTAGGGACTTTTTAGGATCCAAAATAGGACCCATTATGGGTTCTAAAATATTTTTTTTCATAAATGTTCCCGAGAAGTTAGAATTGTCTAACCACTTAAGCCAATATCCAAAATATTTTATAAATTTTCGTTTTTAAGTTAAAACCCTTAAAAGCATTAAAGATTAATATCTGAATTCGTCGAATTACCTATCTTTTTGTACAAAAATCTCTCAACTGGTTAATATTTTTGATAGAATGTCTTGAGACGATGATAGGGGTGGTGAAACTGTAATTTTCGAGAAAGTCACTATGCATAAAAAGTAGCCTTTTAAAGAGTTATTTAGTTAAACTAAAATTGACATATTCGTACCAGTACGTTCAGTTGACTGTTGTACTAGAATAATTCAAAAACTTGCTATAAAAAACTTTCCGTTACAAAAATTTTAAGTAAAATTTAAGAACTTGTTCGATAAGATTTCCTCTGGGAATCCTTTTATGATTATTTCTAATGGATATTAAGTGGAGAAATACAGAACTGACATTGCCTTGATATCAAGCCAAACAAAAAAAATCATAATCCATAAAATGTTTTATGCAAAAATAATTTATAATTTTATTAGATCTTTACATACACGTAAGAGCTAAGCTCTTTTTAGACTGATTAAGGTTTTCTTGTGTACCTAATTCAAATATCATTAACATTTAGGATCATTATATTTAGGATCATTATAGGTAAATTTATTCTGTGATAAGTCTGAAAATTTGTTTTTATACAACATTAAATAATTAAAAGCTTAGATATTAATTTCTTATTCATAAAAACGTTACTATTTGATTTTGAAAATATTCAAAGTAGTGTTGCTAAATGAGACAATATCGCAACATTAAGCTGAGTAAATAAAAAATTCTTAAGGTCTTGTACACTCATTTTTTTATAACGCAATGTTAAAAATTTATTAAAATTTAATTTCCATCTATATCTTTGATGCCATCTCCATTTCTATTTAGATGAATCTGACTGGAAGAATAGAAAAAAAAAACTCTTGGTATAATTGATTAATTCACAAAAAGATGCATAGCTGACAAATTTAAAAATGACAATCGCATCATGGTTCACAAATGTTCATACTTGCCTTTTGATGTTTACATATTGATGATTTAATATTGATATGTATGAAAATTATTGCGAATTTGAACATGAACATGAAGAGAGCAATTCCATGACAGATTTACTATCTATGAACCATCAGATTTCAACTAATGGGACACAAAAAATTATATAGCTGATTCATGAGAAGCTCTCTTGAACTTCAAGCTCTTTATTGTAGTTATGTAATCCAAGAAAATGTGTATTCTTTTTTAATAAGTTGCTGAAGCAGTTGTAATTGAACTAGAAATGAAAGAGAGCAAACCCATGACAGATTTGTTAAATCGAAAATCACACAGGCACGCCACGTGACGTACTTAACTCATAGCTGATACATGAGAAGCTCTCTTAAACTTCAGATTCATCGACAACTTCATTTGTCCCATGATCGTCTTGTAACACTGCAAAGGTACTTTTCATGACTGATGTGACTACATTTCAAACGATAATTCTGAAAATTTCCACACTAATTTAATACAAAACCAGAAAAACGTACATTCTTGCTTGCTTGTTTGTTCATTTATCAATCTCGAAAAAATACATATTGAAATAGAGTTTTCGTTATCACCTGTACTATGTTATCTTTATGTACATTTTACATACGTACACTAACTTGAAAGACAACAAATTTCACTTTTAATACTAAATTGTCACAAAATTTAAAGCAACCTGTCTGGTCACGACTCTACATATCTACTCACTCGATTCGGCAATATAGTCTGATAACGTCTTCTAAAGTGTTATCAGAAGTTACAAGAGTTTTTCTGTGTTATCATACATTCAACAAGGTGTGATAATAATGAAATGTATGTACAGTGAACACAAAACCAACTTCGTTAATTATACATTAATTAAATACATTAATTGCCTTAAGATTGCTTGGAGCTTTTTATTTCGGTTCCTGCACCTGCTGAAGCTAAAAAGAGAATCACTCAAATCTCTTCTTTTGCTTAAATAACTCAACAAGTTTCTCACGTTGTATGTGATAATTTATGAATAACGAAGTAAAGTCTCGACACAAGAAGTCGGTACGCTTAGCACAAAAGGAAAACTATCTCTCAGTTTGTCGATTCGTCGATGACTCGAATGATAAAAGTAAACAATAGAAACGAGAAAATAACATAATGTGCGCGGTTGCAATATATAGACAGCTTTTTAGGTTACGATATCAAATATTTACTCTAAATAAACTGAAATTTGTACACTCGAAACTTTTTTTCAGATTACAAAAATATTTTGTATGAAAAGCTTTTCCATGTACATATCTATTACAATTATTAAAAGAATTATTTCTGGACAAGTGATCAAGTTTTTTATAAGAAAAATGAATGTAGCTGCTTGTTGTTTCAACGAGTCAAGACATTTTCTAACACCTTTTAGTCGGTGGAGTTTAAAATTTAAACTCGTTGATATCTTCTCCAAAACAGACTCGAAATAAATTGTTGACAATTTATAAGAAAAGATGTTTATGAGTCATCAAATTCATTAAAGATATTTAAAAGAGAAACTTTTTGATTGTTTTACAACATTTTAAAATAACTACCTAATTAAGGCTATTCACGAAAAGTGTCTGAAGTAAACATCGTGAAATATTTAAAACAAGCACGTGGTTACATTTCATGTCAAATGCTCATTGTTTTAACACATTTACAACTTTCGAATACTTAATTTATTACCGTAAGGATGGTCTATAAATTTTCTCTTTAAAAGATCGATCCGAACTCTGCGAATAAACAGGATTGAGATCTGTGTTCATTTTAGTAATATTTATGATTTCAAATTAACATGTTTTTCAAGAAACATTCGACAACTATTTAGCGAGCACAAATGAGAATTAAAATAGTCAACAACACAAAAATGGTATATAATTGAAGCTTTTCGATTTTTTTCTTCTCTTTAAAAAATTTCATTTCCTTCTCTTCTAATTAACACTTTTTTGCTGCTAAGCAGAATAAAAATAACTTCAACGATTGCTAGAGCTAAATGAATTTAGGAATGATCATTAATTTTTTCTTATATATATATGAACATATATTCATACAAATGTGTACACGATTTCCCCTTCTCCAATAACGATACTATCAAGTGTTTTTTGATAAGCATGGATAAGAAAGAAGCAGTAGCTTCGTTCAAGGCTTCATCAAGTCACGAACTATATTTTCATCATTATGATTATCAGATTATCTAAGACATTATGAAATGTTAAAAATAGATCTGCTTAAGAATCCCTTAAATGAAAGAAAGATTTTTATGGGCAATAATTACTTCGTCTAGATGCAAACCTTAAATCAATTCATTTAATCAACTCAATCTGATGCAATAAGGAATATTCATTTAATGCTCAAGTATCTAATTGGAACGTTTAAAACGACGAAAAAAGAGAACAACAAATATTTGTACAACACCAAATATTAAAGATAAAGTCTCTTAGAGCAAGAGTTCTTTTTCTTCTTCTTGAATAAAATAAATAAAACGACTGCGAAATGGAGAACTTTTATTCTTTTAAAATGATTGCGATGAAAAATTACTGTGTTGATAGAAGGGCAATAAAGTTACTTAAACAGACATTTTAATGGAAATTTCTCAGGAGACAACTTTAGATTTAATCTGAAAGAGATAAAGAAAAGCAAAGACGTCAAGAATAATTTAAAATGAATTATATTTATTTAAAACTCTGATAAGAACAGTGAATAAAACATGTTTCATCACTTGTTACTCCCAAATGTCACTCTCTTCAAATGTTTCTTTTTTCGTATTCTTTTGTTTCGACTTAATTTTTGATTTTGATTCCTTCATTTCTTTAGATGTAGAATTTAAATTGTTCACTTTCTGCTTATCATCACGTGTTTGTTGAAGTTCATTAATTGATGCTTTCATATTTTCCATGTCAATTTGACTTTGCTGCTCGTCATCCTTCGTCAGATCTTGCTTGTAACAATATTCAGGTGCATACTTTCCAATGATGTCGCAATCTTTTTCACATGTATAAACTGCAATTATTCCCCAATCGAGTTCATAATTCTCAAGTTCATTCAACATTTGTGGCATTATTTGAAATTCAAATGTTCTTTTTCCATTACAATTTGAACATTTTGGGACTTTTGAAGGGTCGAGAATTCCGTAATCAGAAATCCATAACGGTGATCCATGACGATTGTATCTTAAAACTTGTTCTTCATATCCTTCAATTGTCTTTTTAAACTTTCCAAATTTTTTATCCTCTTTTGTTTCGGGAAGCTCATTTAAGTCTGCATCGTAAACGTTACTCATTTCACCAGCCTCAACACACTTCACCATGTCTTCATATTCCTTCAGTCGTCTTTTTTCGGCATCTTTTTCAGATTCCTTCTTTGAAACATGATCTGAATTTTCCTGTTCTATGACGATTTCAAATTCGGGAAAAAGAGTTTTATTAGAAATGTCCACGGTTTCTTCAGATATTCCACAGCGTAATTTATGTGTTCCCCAATCAAGTTTTTGATGAAGTTTGCTACAATAGTTACTTTCTTTACACTTGGAACATGTTAAAGGTCCACGACATCCACAAAGTTTACAAAGCTTCACTTCAACTTCAATTTCTTCAGAATCTTCGCTTTCAATCGCCGGCTTATCAGGATAGAAAGGATTTTTTAAACCCAGCTGACTTCGCAATACTTTTATATTTCTAGAATGAGCATTTAATTCGAGTATAATTTCAATAACAACGAGAGATTAAATCACATACCCAGAAAGATTTTCCTGACAACACTTTCCATTTCGGCAAATGAAAACAAAAATTGAACGATGAAATGCATGGCTAACATGAGCTGATCCAGCATAAATTTGACATAAAAAGATGCAGGGTTCTTGACAAAAATCACAAAGCAAATCTTCTGCTTTAGGAATGTTGGTTAATTCCAACCATGATGGTTTCTTTCCGATTTTTGAAGGGAAAAACCGATTTGTCAAAAGCCAAGATTCCTGTTCTTGAGCGTATCCAAGTTGCACCATCATTTTGGGTTTAGCTTGATAAAATATTTTCTATAGTTTTTCTACAAATTTTAATATTTTGTTTTGTTTTGATTCTTCACGTTTCTCATAAAAGCTTTTTATTACATAGGGACAATTTGTAAATTACGTTCGCAAGTTCAAAATTGTCCTGGTCACAAGTTCAAAAACTGTTATGACAGGAGAGAACAACCAGTCATGAATATCCATGTAAATCGTATAGGTAGTTTTCTAGAAATGTTAACATTTCTTTGACTTATAAGACTTACACGGGGAAAAACTAAGTACCTAATAATTATTAATTAATTAAAATTAAAGTATTGCAATTTAATGATTAAGAAATAGGTATTGAAATAATATTGTTCTTCTCTTTATTTCTCATTTCAATCAGCATGTTTTCTGTTTGAAAAATCAAAGTTTTATAAACTTGTTTGTATTCAACACATCATCGACACGGTTGAGTCATATTCTCATTACTTTACTGTGACTGTAGTTTGAATTCTTATTTACTTTTCGTACTCCAGAGTCAAAGTAACAACTAAAAATATAATAAGATTGATTAACAAATATTGTATTTTAACTAAACGTCAATTGAAATCAAAAGTGTAGATAGACATTTTCATAAAATTGAAAAAATCTTGACTTACATTTTCGAGGTAAGTTCGAACAGAAATTTCCCTGGAATAAAAAAAAATTTAAAACCTGTGAAAAGCTTAAAATTCTAAAGTAAAAAAGGTTCAAGCTAAAGAAAGAATTCGAAGGAAAATTCAATGATTTATATTGAGTACATAAGTTCAAAGGTGTTAATCAGGTTTATGTCATCATACAGATAAAGTTGATATTAATGGAGCGGAGCGAAGTTTTCTGCTGAAAAATTTAAGTTGAAAATTCTATTGAAATTCAACATTATCTGAACGATATCATAAACCTGATGATAACCTTTGAACTCACATTTAATTTTCACCTGAAAACAATCAAAATTATTATTCGAAAATCATTTCACCTTTGCCTTGGATCAAATTTATAGCTACATAGTATAAAAATCAATTTAAAATCTAAATTATCTTTTCTCACGTTCAAGGTTCATCAGTTGAAATTTACTTATAATTAAGAAGATAAAAAAGGCCGTGACACAAATATTTATCACTAGGAAAAAAATAAATGCTATGGAAAATTATTTAATTTCAAAGTTCATTTTATTACTGTGCGTGTCATCAAGTAAGTTTTTATTTAACTCAACTCAAAGCGATTGAAAAAAGTCAAAATGAAGCAATATATAAACCTTATCAATCTTACTTTCATTGAGCTTTGTTTAAATGAATCAGATTGAAACTTAACAAAGAATTCATTACATTGCAACTATTGATTAAGTCATTGACGACTTTGCTTCAACATGATGTGCATTTTATTAATTATTAATTTCCTAGTTCCTAATAAGAAGTATGTGTTTAATTACAGTATTCGGAGCTTTGAATAAAACTGACATTACTATCAATGACATCAAGAATGCTCTCCCCGATGGTGTAACATTCCCGCCCGAATTTGCAGATGCAGAATTGCCAAACATTGACGACGCTAAAAAGCTTTTTAAAGACAAATGCATAAAAGTATCTGGAAGTGATGCAGCGTACGAGGAAGTAACTGTGAGATATTTTTTAATCTTTTTTTTAATTACGCCTGAATTTATGATTATTTAAATTACAGCAAGCAACAACAACAGTCATGGATTGCATACAAAATCTAGTGAACTTCTCTAGCATTCCAGATGAAATAGAGAGAGCTAAACCAAATGGAAACATTGATACCGTCTTCAACAAATATTGTCTGAAACGTGGAGATGCGCTTGACTGCATTCATGACTTTACTGAATCAATTGATCCTTGTTTGACAGCTGAAGAAAAGGAACAAAAAGTTCTTTTTATGAATATCAGCAAAACACTTTTAGAATTCATTTGTCATGAAAATGGAAATCACATTGCATGTGAGTAGATTGAACTAAACTTTAACAAAAAGAAAATGTTTAATAATTTTTATCATTTCAGTATTTATTGCTGAAGAAGGCCCAGAATGCTTCAGTTCAAAACAAGATGAACTTCAGGACTGCTTCAACATAACAATGGGAAAATATTTCAATAATGAGATGCCAACAATCGATAATTTACCATCACTTGTGATTAAGGAAGAAAATTGTATTGATATGGATAAGCTTGAGGCGTGTGTGGTCAAAGAATTGGAGAAATGTAAGGAATCAACACCAGCAAACTTAATGGAAGCTCTCTTTCGTTTCGTTAGAAAGGAGACTCCATGTAAGCAATACCTGAAGACGCCAGACCAGAAAAGTGATTCAAATATTATCAGCATTGGAAAAGTAATGATCGTTTTAGCATTCGCTTTGACTTTTTCTAAATATTAAAAATTGAAGGAAATAATTTGTGTGAGAAATTTTTTAACGTTCATGTTACCCTAAAAGTGGCAAAGTTAATCGAAATTGGGTTGGTGATTATAAAGAAGGTGATAAGGTGTTAAATTAGAATTGGATTAAAATCGACGATCAAAATTATAAAACCGCATAAAACCAAACATCATTAGAATTAAAATATGTCGAATTATTCATAAAAGCGATCAATAGTTTTTTAATTTTTAATATTTCTAAAATAAATTCATGACTATAAGACTTTCTTATCATGAACATCACATAAGCATAGGTACAATTAATACAATCGAACCAAAGCTTATATTTCTCTCTGTATTAATATTTATCTAGCGTCATATTAAAGTAAAGCAATAACTTTGGATAATCAACATATATACTCGAACATAAAATATTTCCATGCTTTTCGTGGTTTCAATTTCAAAAATATTTCTTAAATTTTATATGTCTATACGTGTAACAAATTTATTCACTGGAATAAGGTAAACATTGAGACTTTTAGAATTTTAAACATTTCTGCAGCAGAATTAAAAAAATATCTAATAAAGATTTTTTAGAATGTCTTTTAATCAAACAAAATTATAACGCATGTTGTTTTGTGTACTCCCAAATAATTAATGCACCAGTCACATGAACATTTAAACTTCGAACTACACCCATTTGTGGTATTTCAATAGTTAAGTCGAGAAGAGATAGCAAATTAGCAGGAATGCCTTCTTTTTCATTTCCTAATAAAAGTAATGATTTTGATGGGATTTGTGATTCGGTTAATGGAAGACTTTTTCCACTTTGTTCCGCTCCAATAATAGCAAAGCCAAGTTTCTTCATCATTAAGATATAATCAAGAACTTGCCAACGTTTAATTTCTGTCATTTTTATCCATTTTTCGGCTGTTTTACTTAAACTTTTGAATTCATTATTATCTGCAATTGTCAATGAATGGACAACAAAATTTTCTACTCCAAAGACTTCACACGTTCTAGCTAAGCCTCCAAGATTTGGTGCTTTATCTATAAGAGAGGCGACTACTATTAGTTCCGATCGTGGTTTCTGAAAGGATAGGAATTAAGGTTACAAAGTATTGAAATATTTAATTAACTTTTACCAAGCATAGTTGCATGTTGTCGTTGATAAATTTGTGCGGCATACTCAGAAGTGATTTTTCTCCTGGAATTTGATACTTAAAAGGAACATATTTTTGTTGCAAATTTATTGATGTCATTTGCAAGCTTTCTTCATTCGCTGACGAGATTTCCAAGTCATCTTGTACTTTAATAATTTTATGATTTGTTTTTTCATCAAATGTCTTGAACATCATTCCATTGATCTTTCTCAATAACTCACAATTCTCATCATAATGATCGGGAACAATAATTTCTTCACTCATATTTGTGATGCGAGGAATGTGATGATAAAATGTATCGACAGTAAAGAGTTGTGAAAATTCCAATTTAAATCGAAAATCTTGTTTTAGAATGTCGAGATGCTTCAAATAGTTTCTCAATATAACAGATTCATTGATTATTGTGCAAGTCTTTTCAACTCTTCTCATTACATTTGAATCATGTAGATTTGAGAGTGACTTGAAATAATCATAAATTGTCAATATTGCTGTCTGTGCATAAGTACGAACACTGTAGTTCTGTCCCATAGTGAAAGGCAGAAGGAAGTCGTAAAAAACTTCAAGTTTCTCTTCAATTGTATGTAGAAAACTCTCCGTAGACTGAATGAAATAATAATAAAATTTCAATTGCATTGTCGCTATTGTAATCAGTGACTTAATCGCAGGTGATTTTAAATTATCTAGATTTATGTTTCCTTTTAAGATTTCAGTAATTTGAGAGTGATGTCGGGCAAGAATGATTTCGATTAAATAATTAATGTTTGGCTGATTGTTGATATGAAAAAGTTCTTCTAAAAGAATTTCCTTTGTTCTTTCTGATATTATCTTGCAGAATATTATCGGTTGTAAGCAGTGAAGCTTCATTCGATGAATGAAACTATTCGGAAAGTATCTCAGCTTCTTCTTACTTTCTTTTGAGAAATTTTCCATGCATGATTCGATTATTTGGGAAAATTCATCTGCATCTGTTATTTCTGATAAGAATTTGGATATTTTGAATCGCTGTCGTAAAATATCAAAAAGAGTTGTTTCTGATGCTTCCACTAGATATGATTCCATCTTTATAACACTTCTTTCTATCGAGAGTTCAATTCTGAAATTTTGTATTATATTTATTTCAAATTCGTTTTCTAACAAACTCATTGCTACTTACTGTTGTTCCTTTGTCACCATTAGGACGTCAGTCAATTTTGAAATCAACATGTTCTTGATCCAATTACTTAGTTGATTGTTATATAACTCTCTCAATACATCCATGAACATAATTAATATTTTCATCTTTTCGCTGGCATTTAATTTATCAAATGTTGCTTCCATTTTCAACGTCAAAAAATTGTTCCAATCTTCAGATTCTTGAATTTTTGTTGATAAACATAATATTCTTAAATAATCCACAATAAAATCATTTTTTCTGTTTCCTTCAAGAATAATTTGAAGTAAATTTTCTGATATTATTTTCATGATTTCGATGACATTCTTTGAATTGACAATAGACTTCCACATCATATCATTACAGATAACGTTTTTAAAGATATCGATTTTTTCTTGAGTTTCCTCGTCACGACAAGAATTATTAAAGGCATTTTCCATGTTTGATAATAAATCTTCAATTTCTTTACAATCATTTTGATTTTGCATTACAAGGATTTGACATTGGACTTTATTTAACAAGTTTCTATGATTGCCACTTGAATCATTGAATGTAAATTCAAGTTTAATATTTTCCATCATTCTAAGAATTAATTTTGTGACTTTCCAATATATCTGTTCAATTATTTCATTCTTGTTTGAATATTCATTTAAAATGTTGAAGATTGAATTTAATGTATCAACAACTTTATCATCAATTAAATGTTCCATCCCACAATTCTCAAGGATCTCAATTAAATTTAAAATTTTCATAGAATTATCTTTCAACAATTCGTTTAAACATCCGAGATTTGTTATCAAATTAGAAATATTGCGAGCAAGAGCTTCTTTGTATCGAATATCAAGATGGCTAAGCTCGTGAATGAAATCCTTATTTACCATTTTTCTATTTATTAACATTTCTATAACTTCATAATGATCTAATTCTATTTTTAACTGACAAGATATTAACAACACATGTTGAATGAAATCGTTTGGAATATTACCACGAATGATAAAATTAATATCAGAAGTCTTGGCATGTTCAATACAATGACTAATTGCAATTGATTGTTTGTTTATATTGAAAAGAAAAATCAAAATTTGTTTAAAAGTTACAACTCCCAAATGATTAATGAGAATTCTTATGATTCTTGAATAAAGCATTTGAACTCCTAATCTGATTCTAATATTTTTTACTCGCTTTGGAATTGTCTCAATTTGTTTTTGTAAAATATTAATAAAATCCTGATTGGTCATTGTGTGGGTAAAACTTGTTTCTATGAAGCTAACGACTACTTCCAGTGTTCTATAGAATGGAACTGATACCCAATCGACTTCGGTTAGAATCTCAAAAACACCAAAAAAATTTTCCTTAATGAAGCCCTCCAAAACTTCTTTTCTTATATATTTGTCTGACTCTCCAACATCATCGAATAAATATGTTTCATTCAAAGCAGTTAAAATTTTGAGCATATCCTCGCTTTTATATTTTATTTCACGAGAATCTAAAACAAAATTTAAACCCCATTTCTTAACTAAAATATTTTCGTGTCTTAATATGAGTTGACAAACAAGAAAATAGATATTCGAAAAGTTCTCTGAAGATTTCAGTGTTTTAACAAGACGAAGAGTTGGCAAAATTAAGTGGCTTTGATTTTCTTCTAAAGCTTCGATAATAATGACAAATTTTTTGAAAATCTCAGAATCATTTATATTCATTTTACCAGAGTTGATCAGAGCATTTAGCAGAAATATTCCTTGCTTAGTTTGCTTTAAATCATAATTTGTAAAGCAAGAAAGAAGAATTGATGACCATAATTTAGAAGAATGGTTTTTTCGACATATCTCATCTGCAAAATAGCATAAATTTTGGATAGATGTGCTCTCTTGTCGATCACAACTCTTTATGAATATTAAACTCAAAGCAAGTTCCGATAGCTTTTCATTTCTTTTCATAATTAATCTAAGTGCCGAAAGTATTTTCATTTGATCATTTGCAACAAGATACAAAAGTTCGACCAGTTTATGAATAACATCCGTAAAAAAAACTAACGTTTTACTATTTGTTATAAATACTTTTGTAAATATTTCCAACATACGAAACACATTGCAGTTCAATCTTTTGTCGAAATTTACTAAACTTTCCTTTATCCATAATTGAAGTCCATTCAATTTTTCTTGATTTTTCTCTTCACTTAACAAGTATTCAAAAATCATATCAAGCCTCTCATTTACTGCTACAGTTTCTTTTATTTCATCCAATATCACTTTATAACATTCATTTCTTTCTTCAGATTTTAGCTTTTTATTTTTTATAAATTTTTCAAGAGCTATTAAAGCTTCCTCATTACATTTTTCACTTAATTTATTAAGAAAACTGTAGAAATCTTCATGACACAGGAGATATAACTCATACGAGTCTATTTCGGGTATAATTTGATCCTCAATCATTATAAATCTTTTAATATTTAAATGGTTTATCTTGGAATTTCTTTTAATATGTTTGTTTATATTATGAGTTTAAAACGCACACGTGTACCTTCGGATATAATCTACTTAGGCAGTAGACTGCAGAAGTCAAAAGTTTCGCACCCCGCTTTTTCCTAACAAAGTCGTCTTACATCTCTGCAAAAAATATAAAAACATCAAAATTGCAAGCGGTAATTTCACAAAAAAATAAAATATCGAATGAAAAATGGTTAAGCTAACTACAGAACTCATTAATTCGTGTATGCAATACATTAATCCATGTCGCGATCGTGAACTCGATTTGAGAGGTGGGATTCTTTTATTTAAAACTTAATTTGAAAATAAATGATTGAAAACGTCTTTATTTTATTGGCTTTATTTGTTTTTTGAACTCAGGTTACAAAATACCGGAAATTCAAAATATGGGAAGTACTTTAGACCAGTTCGATACCATAGACTTCAGCGATAATGATTTGAGAAAACTTGGAGGTTTCCCGCATTTACAGAGAATTAAATGTCTTCTACTCAATAACAATAGAATCGCGTAAATGTTTAAATTTTACTACTTTTAAGACAATTTACTGAAACTATTTATTGCAGACGTATTGCTGATGATCTCCACGAAACTATTCCAAACCTTGAGAGTTTGATCCTCACCGGTAATAATCTTCAAGACCTTGGAGATATTGACTCGTTGTCAAAACTTCCGAAACTTGCAGTTCTTTCATTACTGACAAATCCCATAGCCAGCAAGAAACATTATCGTGAATACGTCATATTCAAGTAAGTTAAAAGCCTTTGTTATTATTTAGTAAACATCTTAGTTAAAATAATTTTGTTTTTGCAGATTACCCCACCTTCACCTTCTTGACTTCAAAAAAATTAAGCAAAAGGAACGAATGGAGGCAGTGGCTTTCTTTAAAAGCAAAAAAGGCAAAGAAATTCAAAAGGAAATTCAAAAACGAAGTCGATTAAATCTTGTGACTTCAGCTGAAAACGACAAGCCAAAAGTTCAAAACGTTAATGCTGATATACAAAAGATACGTGAAGCTATATCGAAAGCCACCTCATTACAAGAAGTGGAGCGTCTCACAAAAATGTTGACATCTGGACAAATCAGCAGTGAATTTTTTAATGAAGATGAAATGATGAATTAAATTAAATAGTATTTCTTTCTATTAAATGAGATTTTCTCCAACATGGAAGACTTTTCATTTACTTAACATTTATTTCCATTGAATTACAATTAATAAGTCACAAGAGACGGTTAAAAAATCATTACAATTTAAATAATTACGAAGTTTAGTCAACTTAAAAATTAGACATTAAACGAGTTTCCTCTTCATGAAGCTTCAGAAATATCTTTTCAACAATTTGTGCTCTGCAGATGGATTCAAGATTAGACCTCTTTTGAGGATTTCGTTGTAACATTAAAACTAGAAAGTCCTGAACATGAGGAGAATAGTTACGACGTTGAAAGTCAATGATTGGAGGACGAAACGAGAGATTAGGATTCATGATACGAGCTTTATCCTATACCAACATATGTATTAGACTTATTAATTTCAGGAACTAAATATTACTTACAGCCTTGGTAAAAGGATACTTCATCATGGCCATCTCATAAAATATTATTCCAAGGGCCCAGACATCGACTTTCTTGTCATAAGGCTGATGCAAATAAACTTCAGGTGCCATGTACTTAAATATCAAACTAGGAGTAGTTGAATAAATGAAATTAAAATAGCATTTTACATACGGTAATTGTTCCAACAGATGTTTGACATGTAGCAACGTTATCAATCATAGATTTGGCAATACCAAAATCAGCAATTTTTAAACGATGATTTTCATCAACCAAAACATTTTCGGGTTTCAAATCTCGATGAATAATAGATTTAGAATGCAAAAATCTTATGCCCATAGCAATATCCATAAATAGAGAGAGAAGGTCACCTTGTCCGAATTTCCATGAATTAACAATGAAACTTCTAATGATATCTCTTAATGAGCCATGCTTGACATATTCTAATAAAAAGTTCCAATCGATTTTTGACTGATAAAACAGTACAAGTTTTACTATGCGTGGATGTTTAATATTAGAAAGGATTTTCCATTCTGATACGACAGTTTTATAAGGTAGAGATTCATAAGACATTGGGATTTTCTTCAGTGCATGTTCCTTTCCTTTATACACACATTTAAAAACTTTTCTGTAAAAAATGTTATCAATCGGTAATATACCTATTTCACATTGTAAAGATGTTTCAAAACCTTTTCATTGTTCTCTTTTTCAAGTCAACAAATACTTACCCGAACCCTCCTGAACCTATTTCTTTTATTATTTGGACGCCATATTTTAAATCGCTATTCATGTTAATGGTTCCTAATTAGGTAAATATTCTTCACTTTATTTCTTAATTTCTTCGTTTCTTACATCTGAGATTCAAAAATCAAAAAATTTTCTAATCAATTTTGTCTTCCCGCCAATATTTGAAATTTGAACTCCGAAATAGTAGAAGGCTGGTCTATCAGTTGTGTCCTTGTTACATAAGTTTTGATATTGAAAAAATAAATTCGTAGAGATGGGAAGTGGTTTCTCCTTACATTATAAGCCAGAAGTAACACCTGACCCAAATAAGGAAACAGCTTTTGATCATCATTTTGGATTCAATGGACAACGTAAAGAACGAGGTAAATTTTTCACGTAATAAATACAAAAAAAAATTTGTTCGACTTGTTAATTTTTTTTAGTTATGATTGCCACTGAAGAAGAAATGATATCGGCAAAAATAAAATTGGAAGATCGTGATTATTGTGCTCATAAGCTTATTCAATATAAAACCTGTGCTGCTGATGTATGGCCATGGGCTGTCAAATGTGCACCAGAAAAGCATGAATATATGAACTGCGCGTTTGAGGAGTAAGTGGAGCTGTTATTGATTATGTTATGTTGATAAAATGTCTAAACATTAATTCTCATCTTCAGTTACGTTATGAGAATGAAGGAATATGAAAGAGAGCGAAGATTAATGGAACGAAAACAAAGAATTGCTAAGAAGAGGGGAAGAGAAGAATTACTTGCATAAACAGTGCACCAGCTCATGTTCCGGTACATTATCAGAAACTAAATTTTATGTTGGGCGCAATATATAAGTCTCCATGTTTCTTTGATAACATACTATTCATTAGGTAAAAGTAAACCCAATAAATAATAATAAAAAAACTTGTTCAAAAATAAAAGACTTTTGAATTTCGTAGAAATTTGTGACATTATTGATGGATGAAAAGAAATTTTTTTTTAAACTTGAACTGAACCAAAAAAAAATTGTACTGAAATTTTCTAAACTAAAACAACCTTAGATTAATTTGTAAGAGTGCTAAATTTCATCATTAATGGCTGCACTTCAAGTTTACATCAAAAACATTTAATATACATTAGAAATATTAACTGGTACATAAAAATTTAATGAACTTTAAAATTCTCTATCAAAAATATAAAACTTTATAAATTTATTATTCGGTGCCTTATAAATTGATATGTTGAATATTTTGCTATTATTTATAGTTGGATATTATAAAGATATTAATCTTTAGTTTGAAAACAGACGTAAAACAAAATCTTTTGGTGTTTATTTTAAATATTTTTGCTCATTTAGTTATATCTTTTATTGATTCTTCGTATTTAAATAGATATATTTTTTTAATGACCTGTTTTTTTCTTGTTTTTTTAGACATTCTTTAAGTTTTCTACAATAGATTTGTTATCATGTCACATGCCAACTCACTCTCAAACTCATCATTGTCACCTTCTACGCCTGAGAAGGAAGATACAGAAGATCCTTTACACATAAGCGAAAATGAACGACTTCAATCGAAACTTTCTGGTATTGAATTAGAGAACAAAAATAAAAGAAAATTTAATGCTCATCAAAATGAATCTGATGATGATTCCATTAAAAAATTAAAGACTGATGACAATCAAACAAATAAAAATCCTCTGCTTGAGAACAGTGGAAACGGCGGTGGTGATAATTCTGGTGATAGTGATAATAAAATGTTAAAAACATTTCAAGAAAAATCACCTGAAAATGGCGATTTAAAAGTGCACGATGAAGTTGAGGAGGAGCAAACAAGTGAAGAGAAAGATTTAATACATAACAGTTCCGAGCAAAATTGTCAACAAACTCAGGATCAAAATCATGAGTCAGATAACAAATCCTCAAAAGAATGCAACAAGAAAAACGAGAAAAAAGTTCAAAATCTAAGAAAAAACATTAAAGACGTGCTTGATGAATCGCAATTAGATGCAATAACTTTAGCTGCACAACGTCAAGAATCTGAACGTCTGGCTCGTGTTCAAGAACAACAAAGACTGATACGAGAGACACAACGTCAATTAGCAGCTGAAAAGCAAGCAAACAAAACTCAACAAAAAGTCCTTTCGCTTCTTCAAGGAGAAACATCAGAGCGACAATTAAACTCATCAAACTCATCCTCAAATTTTGACCTTGAGGACATAATCCTCGAAAAGTTCAGCCTTAATTCAAATGTCAACATCATGCCAACAGCAAAATCAACATTGCAATCATTACAATCGTTAATAAGTACAGATGATACAATTCCAGAAACCGATAACGATTCAGATGATGATGTCGTTATACAACCAGACGAATCACAAGACAAATCGAAAGCTGTTGTTGTTGATAGTTCATCGTCTGATTCAGATGATTGCATAATTCTTTCCGATGAAGAAGAAGAAAATGTTGAAGATGATGATGAAAATAACAGTGGAGAACATATAAATGATATTTATAATCAACCAGATCTGGAGGGAAGAGTTGTTGTTAATATTGGACATCATCAGAATGAATCGAAAATCTTCGTCGCGCCACAAATAGCTCGTGTTATTAAGCCACATCAGATTGGTGGTGTTCGTTTTTTGTTCGATAACATAATCGAGTCGGTGGATTTGTTTGAGAAATCATCAGGATTTGGATGTATACTGGCACACTCTATGGGATTGGGTAAAACTTTACAATTAGTTTGTTTCTGTGATATATTCTTAAGGCATACAAGTTCGAAGAAGATTCTTGTAATCATGCCAATAAATACGCTGCAAAATTGGCTTCACGAATTCAACATGTGGCTGCCGTTACCAGAAGATGTTGACAAGAGTCCTTTGAAGAAAGACGGCGAAGTTCGTGCAAGAAACTTCAAAATTTTTGTGTTAAATGACAGTCACAAGACACTTAATGCGAGAGCAAAGACCGTCATTGAATGGTCGCAAGAAGGCGGCGTTCTTATGATGGGCTATGAAATTTACCGCCTTTTAAGTTTAAGGAAAATGAAGCAAACGAGAAAGAAGGGAATTCATCAGCTGTCAGATCAACAACCAACTAAAGAAGATCGAGACATGTTTGACAAAATTTATTCTGCACTTGTTAATCCAGGACCCGATTTGATTGTTTGTGATGAGGGCCATCGAATTAAGAATGCACATGCAAGTACATCAATGGCTTTAAAACAAATTAAATCAAAGAGAAGAATTGTGTTGACTGGTTATCCACTGCAAAACAATTTATTGGAATATTGGTGCATGGTGGACTTTGTCCGTCCAAGTTATCTTGGAACGAAAACTGAATTCAGCAATATGTTTGAGCGTCCAATACAGAATGGCCAATGCATTGATTCAACACCTCAAGATTGCAAGCTTATGCGTTACAGAGCGCATGTTTTGCATTCACTTTTGAAAGGTTTCGTTCAACGACGATCTCATCAAGTTCTCCAGAAATGCTTGCCAGAGAAGACCGAATTTGTTTTGTTGTTTCGAATGACGCCTTTTCAAAGGAAACTTTACACCGTGTTTATGAATGAAGTTGTACGCTCGAAGAGAGTTCCTAATCCATTAAAAGCATTTTCTGTTTGCTGTAAGATTTGGAATCATCCCGACATATTATTCAACTTTTTGAAGAAGCGAGAATTAGATTTGGACTTGGAGTTGGAAGAAACAGAAGCAATTGGAAAAGTTGAAGCCAATGGAGTTGGAGAAAAGCAAAAGCGTAGAGGTCGAAAGTTGAGAACTAAAAAGTCGCAAGATGATTCCAATCTGGAATTGGAGAAATCAACGTCTTTAAAGAAGTCAGAAGTGAAAATTGAACAAGACAATGGCAGCAGTAGCAATGGAATTAAAAGCAATACCACAAACTCAAATTCGAGTAATGGTGGAAATTCTTATTCATCAAATCGTTCCACTTTGAGTAGTGGCAGTTACATTTCATCATCTTCAGGCAACTACGAGTCATCCTCATACAACTCAAGTTACCATCAGAACTACGAGTCAAACTATTTAAATCCTTATCCTCCTTATAACAACAACCACAACAATAATCATCGTGTTAACAATGACGGCAGTTATCAACATTGGAATAGCGGAAATCACTGGCAAAATAATTACACTGACTTTTCACATCAAAATTATTACCAACAACCATTTTATGGCAACACAAGTTATCAATCATTTGAGCATGCAACGAAACAGCAACCTCCAATTAATAACATTAAAATTGAAAATTTAACGACAGACAAAGATATTGAACAAAGACAACCATTAAATAATGAAACTTCTATTGTTGGTGATGTGAAGCCATTGATTGAAACAAAAGATCAACAACAAAAGGAAGATTTTGAAACCAAAGATTCCAATAGCATTAGTAATAAAGTTTTACGTGACGATGGAATTCCATATGAATGGGCAATTGATTTACTTCGCGATTATGTTTCTGATCTTCTCGAAAGTTCACCAAAAATGGAAGTTTTCTTTTGTATTCTTGAAGAAAGTATAAAGTTAGGTGATAGATTGTTGGTTTTCTCTCAAAGTCTTTTCACTCTTAATCTCCTTGAAAAGTTCCTGCAACGGTCAAAAATTCCTGATGCCGAATCAAACTGGTCGAAGAATACAAGTTACTTCCGTTTGGATGGTAGTACGACAGCTCTTGAACGTGAAAAACTTATAAATGAATTTAATGCAAATACAAAAGTGAAATTGTTCTTAGTGAGCACGCGAGCTGGTTCTCTTGGCATTAATCTTGTTGGTGCTAACCGTGTTGTCGTGTTTGATGCAAGTTGGAATCCATGTCATGACACTCAAGCTGTTTGTCGTGTTTACCGATATGGGCAAGCGAAATCATGTTACGTTTATCGATTTGTAATGGATAATTGTTTAGAGAAAAAGATTTATGATCGACAAATCAACAAACAGGGAATGGCAGATCGAGTTGTTGATGAATGCAATCCTGACGCTCATCTTCGCATGAGTGAAGTGACAAGTTTATGTTATGACGATGGTGAAGATCCTGATCCTAAGGAATTCAAGGAAGAGGTAGACAAATACAAAGATGTTGTGATGAAAATAGTCTTGACACATCAATCTAAAGCGTTGACAAAGGAGCCATTTCAACATGAAAGTCTACTCGTTGATCGTAAAGAAAAGAAGCTTTCTCAAGCTGAGAAAAGATTGGCTCAAAGAGGCTATGAAATGGAGAAACAAGCTGCAACGAAACCTTCGTTTAATTACAATCCATCAATAGGATCAAATAATTATCGTGCTTATCGAACGCCTGACGGTTCCTTGATTCATCGACCAATAGCATCAGTAAGTTGACTTTCAATTGAATCTTAAATATTTCATTTCATCATATTTTAATCAACAGGTTCGACCAATGCAAAGTGAGTTGGGAGATGCTTTGAATTCAGCTGTTCGTGCTAACAATAATCAAAAACCAAATCGATGGGTTCCTGTTGAAGTTTGGCAAAGCAAAGGTTTAACAGCGCAAGAGATGACGCTACCTCAAGGTGAGTAAAGTTAATTTATCACTAACAAAACGTAATTAATCTTCTTTTTCCCTTAGACGTTTCAATTCAAACAAATTCTGCTGACAAGTCGAAGATTTATTTGAAGGCCGGTCAAAAAGTTATCGTCTTGAAATCACCAAAAGGTATTTGTTTGCAATTGGAGAGTGGCAAAGTTATCGCTATTCGAGCTTCAATAAAAACTGGTCAACCAACTGGTCAAGTTGCTAATCCCGATCAGAAGCTTTGCAGTTTTTCTGGAATGCAAGATCCGTCTCATCGACATCCGAACAGAGCAAAGTTCACGTCGCCAACAAAGAACGATGGAGATGTTATTGACATTTCTAATGATGATGATGATGAAAGTCAAGTACCAGCAATAATTCCTAATAAAGACAATTCTTTATTACCTATTCAAAGTTCTAATGCCATCATTAGCGCTACTAATGATACTTCAGTAAGAGATATGACGGAACCATCACGTGTTGATCACACAACCGACACAATGTACAAGGAAAAAGTCGTCTACAAACCGAATCTTGTTCAACGTAGACCGAAGTTTTTTCCAACTCAAACTACTTCGTCACATGACACCATGAACTTACCAACATCATTACCAAAAAAGAATTTATTGGAGTCTGGATATCAAGGACATTTACAGCCGTCATTTACAACGATTGGGACACATTCGTCTTCAAATTATTACAATCAGAATGTCAATGGAGCTCCCAAACTACCAACACCAGTTCCAAAGTGTAAGTTAATTTCTTTAATTTAATTGTATTTAATTGTAATTTATGATTCTTTACTCAGTAACTGACAACTTAAGAAAGACATCAATTAATCATCAAGCACGAGATAAAGATAAAAGTTTACCGCCATTCTATTCACCGAATGTCAGAAGTTTCATGACGCCACCGCCGCCAATCCCTTCACAAAATATGTACCAACAACCACCTTATCCTAGCACATGCTACAACTCACCGTCAGCAGCTCCAAATAACAATTGCGATCCATATCCATATAATCATCCAAGCTTCTTAAACACTCCACCACAGAACTTTCATTATCCAACACCGGGATCTGGAAATTACGATCCAGGATATTTACACTACCAGGGCTACAACTACAATAATCTTCCACCCCCGCATTCTTATCCGCCTTCAATTGACTCAGATTCCAATGTTCAAGTTCCATTCTCATCATCAACCACAGGATCGACTTATAACGATTGGAATTATAATATTTAAAAGGTCTACAATCATATTTAACTTCTAACGTAAAGAATATGAATATAATTCTTTTAACAAAAACCTCGACATTCTTTAGAAAAAAAAAATTTCCATTTAAGTTGAAAGTATAAACGTTAAAGTAGTGACTTTAGTACTTATGACTTATGTAAATAAATATCTTTGCTTCATTCCTTTTATTCCATTTATGATTTTGTTAAATAAAAAAAAGTAGATATTTGAATACATTTTTAATTTTTGCCACTGTTGGAAAAATGAATAGATCAGAAAACTCGTTACTTTCACATTAATAAGTAGATAAACAAATAAATATTTAGAAGAGATTTTTTTCATGACTTAAACTTATTATGATTGTGTAAGAGAAAGTTGGGCTAACAATTAGAAATTTAAAAGTAGAGATATTTATAATTTAAAGTAAATATTAGATAATTGTTTTGTAAAAAGACAAATAAAAAGTTCAATGAATAAGAAAACAACATAAATTAATTTTATTAAATATTTTAAAATGATTTAAGTCTTGAATCCTTTTAATAACATATTGTTTAGATATGCTTCGATGTAAAATGTGAATCAGGTAACACAGATAACTGCGAAAAGCGCAAGCGCTACGCAAGTCACTCCCCCCATGTGTAATTCCATCGTTTTGATTTGATAAGAATGTTTCATAAATTATTAAATGTGATTTGTAATCTCGAAAGGATGTGATTTCAAAGATATCGTTTCTCACAGTTCTTGCTATCGATGAATCAGAACAAAACGCGTTTGATCGTTTAAGTAGAATTATTTGTACTATCCATTAAAGAATTCAGTAAATAAATATTTAAATTCCTATACTAAAATATGAATCAAATTAATGAAAGAACAAATTTAATAATCATTTATTTAGAGTGAGAGTTGTCACAATTAGAAACAATTCAAAATCTTGTTTGTGGTTTTAAATGAGTTATGGATACGTTAATGAAAAATGTAAGCAAACTATCAGCAAAGGATATTTATGCTTAAGGATATTTATGCTTAAAGAGATTTCTGCACAAGAACTTAAAGTACGTTCTAACAGATTACAACCAAATTTCAAGGAAGGCTGATTAAGTTAAGCGACAATTTACTATAATGAAGTTTAGTGAACGTTTAACATTCAATAGTTTCAGAAAATTTTAACGTGGTGCTCAATTTCAATTAAATGTTTAATTAAAATATAAAAAATTTCTTATAAATTTTAAAAACTTGAAAATCCGAAAGAACGAAAATTTACCGCCAACGACGATGTTTCGTCTGTAAAATTATATCGCGGTGGAACATTCTGTGATAAAAAGGAAATGGAACAATTTCGCGACGGAAGTCGCTGTGGAAAAAAGGAAATTTGTTATTCATGTCAAAAAAATAAACAAAATCCGCCAGTTCGACTTTAAATTTATTGTAAATTAGTAAATCATAAATTGAAATTCCAAGATCGAAAGGAATTTCCGATTTCCTGTTTAAGATCCTTCAATTGCCCAAGAAAATTAAACAAGCATGGATTTCCTAGTGGAATACGTCACAGAAATCTATAGTCATTAGTCGCATTACTTCAAATATTTTACTCCCCGCTGTTGCATCCAAAAGCATCTCGATTGACTATCATCTAATTATCAGTTGTTTCTTTCATCACACAAGCTAATAATTGTTGAATATTGTGTGCTTATTTCATCAAGAGAATTATTGTTCATCTATCGACAAAACTTATTGTTTTAGTTCAAAACTGACCAAATTTTACTGACTCCCATACTGACAACTTGTTTTTATTCAGGTGTCATTGTCTTAAAGCGAAACAATAATCAATTATATTTAATGATTTTTGAAAGAAGTAGAGAAACTAGAAATCTGTCGTAGCTACAAAGATAATTTTCACTAAATTTTACAACTTTACAATCTTCTTAAAATTGAAGGACAATCAATGAACCTAGATTATACTTTAATCGCATTGCGAATGCTGACAGAAGTCAATATACCAGCAAATATTTATCGACGTTTTGACGTAACTTACATATAAGTTACAGTAGCTTCTAATGGAAAAAATGAAACTGTTTGATGGAAGAAAAAAAATGGGAAGCAAAAGTTTGCTTAGTGCAATGTGTGTTAAAAAAATAACTAATGGGGGATGAAAATATAATAATGAAGACATCAACGAACACGTTGCGCTATTGTCACCTTTTATGTGTTGTTTTCAATTAGTTAAAGTGATCAAAGTTTGAACTTGTGAAGTCATTGCAAGCAATGTGTTAATGTGTCGTTTCATGTTTTTCAGAATGAAACCGTTGACGTTTCCATTTCGACGTCTTCTGAAAAATCCAATCGAACATTCAATGTTGAAGACGAAGTTGAACAAAAGAATTTATTTCCATCTGCTATGTATGCACATTTTTGTCATTCGGAGATCGAGTTTACTGATGAAGACAAACAGTCAAAACGATTAACTCAATATTATCCACAAACTCACCAATTTAACGTTATGAATGTGGCACGCATAACGCCACCATCAAAAACACCATTTACATTAAACTCTCCACTTGTCTTTCCAAGTCAACAAATTTATAGTGGGCAACATTTTAGCAATTTACATGAAGGTATCAAATAATCATTTGATGAAATTATTTTATTCTTTAATAAGTTTAATTCTTCAGAATATCTCAATTCAGAATATCGATTAAATCGTGAAGTGTGGACACAGGAAGCCACGGTTATCGAGGATTCTTCGCTTAGTAAGTAATCTTTGAGTAGCTGAAGGTTATTTAAACTGTTTAAATTAAATTTTCTCGATATGCCCGAGCGGCACAAAAGGCGATGTCTCTCACAAATCTGGCATACGAGTGTTGTCTCCATTTAATTGGAAGGCTATCCTTAAGAATCCGCCATATGAAAGACATTTGGCGAAAAACAATTTAACGCTGCAATAACTTTATGTGTTTACCTGTGATAGCTTTTGAAGAAGTTATGACGTAGATTTTTAACGGATAACGCTTATCAGAATTGAAATTTAATCTGATGTTAATATATCAGTGCCAATGACTGGATTTTCATCTCAAGAAAAGTGAAAAACCTTAATTGAAGCTTAAACTATAAGACTTAGGTACAAGGTGTGTTTGGAAAGGTTGTTGCTTATCATATGTTGCAACTTTTCTTCTTACATCATATTTCAGTAGATTGGCACCAGACGGTGTTAGAGATGAAAATGAAAAAAACGAAAAAATAATATTACAGCTTAAACTATAAGCTTTAGCTACATAGTGTGTTTGGGAAAGTTGTTCCTTTAAACTTGCTGCAACTTTTTCTAGTATATCATATTTCGGTAGGTTGGCACCAGATGGCGTGAGTGATGATTATTTATTAATTTTTCATTATTTTTTCATAGCGCCATCTGGTGCCGACTTACCGAAATATGATGAACTAGAAAAAGTTGCAGCAAGTTTAAAGGAACAACTTTCCCAAACACACTATGTAGCTAAAGCTTATAGTTTAAGCTGTAATATTATTTTTTCGTTTTTTTCATTTTCATCTCTAACACCGTCTGGTGCCAATCTACTGAAATATGATGTATGAAGAAAAGTTGCAACATATGATAAGCAACAACCTTTTCAAACACATCTTGTACCTAAGTCCTATAGTTTAAGTTTTATTTAAATCTACGAAACAATCAACAAAATCGCCTTCTCAGTTCCATTGAATGATGTTTTGAGGCAGATTTATAAAACAACCGTATGGAATTTAAAGCTGCCATATGGTAGCCTTATTTAGAGTTAATGGCATGTGGGGAAGCATCACAGCGTCAACTGTTAGTGGCAAATTGATATCTCGATGATTTTCGCTGATTTCTAAAGGAAAAGCCAAAGGAAGTGCCAACGAAAAATCTTCGCAGTGCAACAGTATGCCTTCGGCATGGCGAGTGTGTGCCGCTCGGGATGTATGCTCAAATATTTACCAATTTGTTTGCAAAAGCTATTTTTTGCTATTTCTGAGATATTCAATTTTGATTCAAAACCCTGATTTGTTACATAAGAGGAATCAACATTCAATTATTAAAATTTCATTAAAAATAAATTTTCAAAGTCTACGTTCAAGAAAATTATTTTTTGTCGTGTCGCATCTACAGACAACATAATAAACATTAAGATTATTCTTATAAGTTCATGAAAAACTTGACAGCCCGTTATCAAAAGAAAAGATACAATCACAAGAAATAAGAAAAATTGAATGAAAATGAAATCAGCAGGTGAACTGATGAGATGTCAGTCACGAGTATCTGAAGCAAACTTCTCTTTGTTGTTCCGTATTTTCTTCTTTTTTCATTAATTTTCAATCTTATTTTCGTCGCTGTGAAACGTTTTAGGTAAAGATTTTCGTGATGAACATTTCTTAGAGTTTCCTAAGCCAGCGTTGGGTCATACTTATTATAGGTTTGTTATTTCTTCTTTCATTATTATCTTAACTATCAAAAGTCAATGTAATAAATTTGTAATATTTTCAGATTCCCTAATCCAGTGGTACCAAATGCTTCTGTTTCACCAGCATCAACTTCACAATCAGTGAAACGAGAGTTTAATGATGGTAACTAAAAATGATCTTTCTTACCATAATAAAGATTCTTTTAAAATGCTTCTCTGTTATCATTTGTTGCTTTGTAATTGCATTCACAACCCTTTGCTGGAGTAATGTACTGTTTATACTTCTTTAAGAGATTTTCCCGCAACAAATTTTTCACCCCATGAGATATGAATCACTTTCATTCTCTCGTACACCCCATGAGACTTATGTTAGTCATAAAAGCATGTCAGACGAGACTTAAAAGATTCTCTTCTTCGTAAAATAAATTTTCACACAGCATTTTCGTTGTGATTTTCCTGGATACTTGCTTTGGGTTGTATGAAATTAAGTGAACATACAATAATTAATTTTAATCATTACGATCTATCAACAAGCCAATTTAGATATTTAACTGAAAATTTCATAATAAATTCAGCTTGTTTTATAAAATAATAGAAAAAAAAATCATAATATAATCCCGACAGATGAAAAACGTTTTTGGAGGTCTGTAAATAATTTAAACTTCTTCTTTTTTCCAAACTTTTTGTTATCTACCATTTCTTCTGTATCCATACCATTAAATACATTACGCTTTTTGTTAAATATTTAATGAAGTTTTTGTTTTTATATTCATTTTTCTTCTTCGCGAGATTCTCTTTTAAAGCTGAGTTGTACCAACATTAATCATTTATTATTTATAATTTCATATTAAATTAATAAGTGCTGAATGATAATTCATGAACCGAGTAATCGTTTTGACTCATTAATAAATATTGTGTTTAAAAGAATTCTTTCTGGTCTTAATAGAATTGTTGCCCTTTTATCTAGATATTATTAATCTAAGTCAACCCCATTCCTATGACAATAATTTTCTGTTTTTCTCATGTCAAAATATCGCATCATAATCGTTCGTTGTTGAAAAGGTAAGTAAATAGATTGAGGGATGATATGGAAAAAAGCAACAAGAATAGAGTTTCTCGCGTAAAAGGGTTCAGCTCTGTTTATTTATTTACTTATTCATTTATTTATAAATTTTGTTGATTCACAACATTATTATTACTGTAGGATTTTAATACTAGAAGGCTATTAAAGTTAAACACTGAGTGAAACATTTTCTCTGAAGCTATTTAGTGAATAATTGTGTATTAATGAGGGAAGCAATCCCCTTCATACATATATCATGCTTCAGATCATCACCTAATGAAATTTTTATTAGTTTATCTTCACATAGACAGTAGTGGGTGAGCTGATGTTTGCTTGAAAAACAAAACTCTCAAGTTTAATAAAATTAATAAAAATCAAACCAACTGAATTTAAAAATCGATGAAATTTTCCAACCCACGAAGTTGAAATTTAAACGTTTTGAAATGAAAATATGTTTCTTGCGTTTCTGCGGAATTATAATTTTCCAACGGTGGTTGTCGCGATATCAAAAATCAATTCATCTTTATTATGCAGTCGACGTGCGTCACGAATTTTACATCTTGGATTTTTTTCTTTTAATCTAATTTGCGTGAATTTCTACCCTGAATCGAAGTGATTTTGGTTTTTTTTATTTTCTTTCAATTTAAAATCATGTCATCATTGTTGGAAGACGATATCTAAGTCGAAAGGCGTTTGTTTCTGAATGATTTCTCCTCCTACTTGTTTCTAGTTGGTTGGCACCATTATAACTTCACAGATCAGCTTTATAATTCATCATCACATATGTCTTCAATTTACCATCACCAGCAACAGCCTGATTCCACTTCAGCATCTTCCCTCCATCAACATTCAACAGTAGAAAGTCATTTTTACAATAATTCAACCGACTCTTCAGATTATGTGACAACAACATCGAACCCATCTTTAACAACGACAACAAACGGAACTTTAACTTGTAATACTTTGAGTTCAGCCAATGTCAGCTTTCAACAACGAAGAGGTTCACTTCAACTTTGGCAATTTCTTATCGCTCTTCTAGATGAACCAACAACAAAGTAATGTCAATATTTGATGTTTTCTCTAAAACCTTAATTTCTTTATTGTTTAAAGTAGTTCTTGTATTCAATGGACGGGACGGGGAATGGAGTTTAAATTAATTGAACCAGAAGAAGTTGCCAGAAGATGGGGAATTCAAAAGAATCGACCAGCTATGAATTATGACAAATTATCAAGAAGTTTACGATATTATTATGAAAAAGGAATTATGCAGAAAGGTTTGCTTTATTTCAATACTTTTTTTGAATGAATCACTAGAAAAGTTTTGTATTTTAGTTGCTGGTGAACGATATGTATATAAGTTTGTATGTTCACCTGAAGCTCTTTTCAACATGGCTTACAATTCAACGTCTTCAGTCATCACTGGAGTAGCTCCAGAAAGTAATCGAGCTTCCAATGAAAAGAATCTTTTTTTAAATCATGGTTATCAAAGTTCTTAATTTTTATTTCTGGTCAATAAATTTACCTGCTACTTAAACAATTCATTTGTTTCACACGCGTTCTTGAATTTATTTGGTATCATAACATCTGAGTGAATTAAAAAAACATTTCATAATTGTGGGATTAATAATTATGTTTGTATTTTATTCAAAATATTTCCCATTCTTAATTTCAACATATAGCATTACATACTTATTTAGACTGATACTTTATTTCTTATCTAATACTGTGCTCTATTCTAATTCCAAGAGCGTATATAAAATAAAAACCATTCTTTTCTTGTTTTGTTATTTATGTATACCTAGGTATGTTTTTGAGAATTAGAATTACTTTGACAAAGAAATTATATATATTTAACTTCATATATTTTATAAAACGTTATCAAGTAATCGAGAATGATCTAAGAAGTCATAAAAAAAATGACTTTTCGACTGATTCAGTCAATCAGATCTTTTCATTAAGATTGTTGCATTCAATTAAAAACTTGTCAGGATTTTGTGTGCTACTAAAATATTCATTTAATGTGTTGTTTAGATAATTTTCTTTTAATTAATCTATCCACACATTTACACAAATGTTTTTATAATGTTTCTTTTTCATTTTCAAAATTTGTCTTTCAAAAATCGGAATGGTGCGCAATTAGAAAAATCGTTTTGTGATATAATTTTCCGAGTTGATTTAAGTTTCTTCTAAATATGTGAATGCTGAATGCTACTTATTAGTAGAAATATTAATAACATTGACACCAACTTAATAATTACATATATAAATATGTAGATGAGGATTAAAAGAAGATTCTTGTTGCGTGAGAGATTACAAAGATTAAATGATTCATCGAATCTAACTCAAAAAAAAGTAAATAAAAGAAAGGTAAATAATAGTGAATGTGTTGTCATAGTGGCTTTAATAATTATTTATGCTAATATTCTGTATTTATGAAAATTCTCCTGTAAAGATCGTTTGTTTGTTGCTGATTAAACAGCTGACACTTGCGTTTCATCATCATCTGTGAACAATAAACAAAACAAATTATTTTTAATTATTTACTTTAATTAATTATCTTACCATCTTCATCAGGGTAATAAATTTCAATGTCACCAATTGATGATTCAATTACACCTTCATGAGAATAAGCTCGACCAAGTCGATGGAGACGAGCTATCTCAGCTAAATTATGTGATTGTGGATGGTATCGAGGCAAATTTCTTGGTGGTGGTGAAGGAATTATTCCTAAATGATCATCAATAAATATTCAATATTAACACAATGAATCATTAAACTCACCTCCATGTCTAAGTTGATTTAACTTTTGTTGCTGTGAAGCAGCATAAACATTGTATCCGGGTACATTTGTATTAATATTTGCCCCAGGAACAGCAACTGGGAAAGGTACAGGGCGTGTTCGTGGATTTGGCGGAGGCGGCATAGAAGTAATGTCACCATTTCCTTGCTTTCCTCCACTCACACATGTCGCATTTTGCAAAACTTGCTGATTATATAAATTTGTGGAATTATTTGAACCTTGTTGAACAGCAGAATGTCTTCGTGGTGGAAGTGGAACAAATGCTGGAACATTGTGAAGAATTGACGATGTTAAATGATAAACATTTCCTCCATCACAATAACTTATCGCTTCGCTATGTCCACTGTCAGTTGATGAGATTGATCCATGATTTTTTCTTGCCGGCATGTTGCTTAATGAAGTTACAGAACTATTTGTTGCAAAATTTAAAGATTAATTAACGTTCAAATATACATTTGGTAGTCATTCTCAAACTTTGTGTCAAAGACTGCGTTAATATATAAAAGTTGAGAAGCACTGCCGTATATATTAGCATACCTGCTTTCAGCTGACAAATCAACAGAAGGTAATGGCGTGGGTGTATCAGAATGTGATCTTTCATGAACAAACTTTCCGGTAACGTTTGTGTTTGCAAAGCAATGTAGAGGCTGCCATGCTGTTGATCCTAATTTAATTAATGAATTATCATAAAAGAAAGATGAAAAAACTTATATTAAATTAACCTGTTGAAGATGCAATTCGACGATGCGATCCAGGCGAAGGTGATGGACTGAGATTTGTGTGATATGTCAAATTGTGTTGATATGGAATTCCAGAAGTATGTTGTGGTGGAACATTCATTCCAAGTCTCACCGTTTGATGAGGCCGAGTTTTAGAATTTTCAGCAAGTGAGAGAATTTTCTTAACAGCTTGTGGTGATGCTGTGCCGAATTTTGGTCCGACTGCTTTCATTCCATCACTTTTACTACTCGTACTGCTTGTTGTAGAGAGTGTTGGGGACGGATGACGTTTTCTTATGGTGACGGAATTTGGCGCTGAAATAACAATTGCTGGTTCGCATTCTAATGACATGAGATGCAATTTCTCTTCATCTTTGATGATTTCAATATTGTTGAGATATGCTTTGACTTTTCGAACCATCTGAGCTTCTTCAAACATTTTCTTTGGATTCGGAGTTGCTGCTGACTTCTTCCTTCGTTTAACTGTCGCTGATCCATGCTGGATGATGTTTGTAGCAATTGTTTGACCGATTGATGTTGTGAATTGATTGAATTGGTTGAGTGCTGTCATTGCAGCATTTGGCTGATTTTTTATGTCTAACATTTTGAGAATACTATCCATATAAGGCGTTGGTGAACTACACATGTCCATTAAGCTTCGAACTTCCTTCGATATCATTCGAAGCTTTTCAAAATTGATAAGTCCGTCAATTCTTGAGTCATTTCCCAGATGAATGAATGTTAAATCTTTTTTCACAACGGGATAAAAGGGAATCAATGAACGCTTCTGTTGCATTTCCATTGCAACAAGTTGCCGATATTTCGACATGTTTCTTGATGGGTCCATCAGATCTTGCAGATCATTAAATAATTTTTGATATTTGGTTGGAAGCTTTTCCCATGTCAAACGTAATCTTGAAATCGAAGCATGACCTAAGCCTGAAATGATGGCAAAGACTGAATTGAAATTCTTACATTCTTTGCAATGCCTTGCAATCTTTATAAATTGCTTGATGATTTTTGATCGTCTCATGATGTTTGTCTCTCGACAAATCTCACCAACAACCCAAAACATTTCATTATTCACAAGCTCAGCAAACTTATTCAACATTGGCGTTCCGTATTTGCTTTTAATTGAGAACAAATCGTCGATATATTCTGTCGATTCAATTTGACGGAATATTTGGAAATCTTGATTGGTAAGTTGAATTGCCATCTCGTTTGGATTCAATTGCAAAAAGTGAACATTATTTTCACGAACTAAATCCGATGCCATTTCATCAGGAACAAGAGTTTCGGTTATGCCATTTGTCTTCAAATAATAACGAGAACTAAGACCAATTCTTTCAGCTAAATTTTGTAATTGTTCAGGTAAGCGACGTTGCTTGATCATTCCACCTTCACCTACACTCACTTCACAAAGTGAAAAGTTTGAACTTGGATCATGAATGCCGAATTCTTGTAGTGCTAACATGACAACTTCATGTGCTGTTGTTTCTTTGTGAATTAGCAGAAATTTGTAAGTTTGATCAGGTTTAAAGACTTTCAACACATGCTCAGGATAATCAGCTGATCTAATATCATCGTAAAACATCGCCATCTCTTGTTGTTGAGAGTCAGAATGAGGATAAAAGTTGGCATTATTGCTCGAACTGGTCCCTGTACTTCCACCAGATGAAACTGAAGCCATTGTTGTTATTGTTGTCGTTGAGGCTGTTATCGACTTTCTCAGGTTGTTATTACATTGAAGTTCATCATCCAAAATCTTTTCATCGTCTAAATTTGGCTCGTCAATAATATTCGACTCAACACCGCTTTCAGATTCACCGTCTACTGATGATGTAGTCGCCGTGTTTGTATTTTTAGCTGTTGTCGTTGCCGATGATGATGATGACGATGACGACGAAGCTGGAGTTGCTGTTAAGAATCCACTACTTGCATCATCTTCATCTGGTCCACAACCTGTTGGTGAATCAACAAATGTATTCTTTGGTAAGAGATTGAGCTTTTGAAGTGCTTTTTGAATCCTTTTCTTTGGTCCCAATGTCATGAAGCTACCACCTTTATGAATGTTACTCATTTGTCCTCCACTCACTTTCGATTGATTGTCATGAGTAAATTTTGTGGCTGGCTTTGGAAGGAAGCTTGAATATTTGAGTAAAGGATCTGCCACATTGTCTGTAACGTCGTGATTGGACGTTAACAAGTCTATCGAAGATAATCTCACTCTGGTATCTGTGGCTTGTAATTTCGCTAAATCAGATGCAATTTTCATTTTTGTTTTCAACCTCGGAGAGTTTCGACTCGTTGAGTTTAAAAGTTCACGGAAAACAAGCAAATTACTTTTTACTGCAACACTCAAATGTGTTGTTCCTGTTAAAATTTCCATCGCTCTAGCATGTGAAACATGCTCAAAATTTTGTCCATTCACTTCCAAAATTTGATCTCCCCTTCTTAATCCCATATCACTTGATTTCGAGTTCTTTTCAACTTCCAATATGAATATTCCGCCACCTTTTTCGTATCCACCTATAATCTTAAAATGCAATTCTTCATTTCTTGAGCTGCGTGTCAATGTTATTGTTCGCGTTCTGGCTTTATGTGTATGAGCAACATGAAGCAATTTTAATTCCTCTAACATGTTGAATCTTTCCAATTCCAATTCGAAAACTTCAAGAAATTCCATCATTTGTGAGTCAGTTTCAAAGTCGGTAAAGTAATTATTAACCCATAATATGACGACACGTGCAACTCGATATTTGACGTCAATATAGGAAGATGATGACAATAGTCCATCTGTAATTGGAGGCTTTAAATCGTCGATGATTTCTTCTGACCGAAACCATTCGAGAAGTTGATTTGCTACTTGAATTTGAGACTCAAAGAATGTCCGTTGAGTGAGCAGAAAATCTTCAACATAAGTCGGATCATTGATTGAATTTTCTTCAATTAAATGAAGCATTAACCGTTCTGGTGTGCCTCGAATAACAACTGGCTCACGTTTTCCTGCATTTTCAGTCTTTCTCAATTCAGTGACAATCACAACTTGACCATTTTCTTCGTGCTTTCGAATATTTCCTTCACCTTCATTGAGAATACGATAATAATCTGTTTGAGTTATGCAAACAAATTGACAATCGTCAGTTTTAGTTCGCATGATTCCATTGTGATAAGATTTCTCCATAGTCGGTGCAATACCGAATGAGTCTCCATATTGAAGTTGTTCAGTTGCTCCTCCTGGATGCTCTACTTCTACAATACCATTTATAAGGACACTCCATGAATCTAATTCTTCTCCATCGTTCATAACAACTGTCCCAGCTTTCTCTACAACAGCAAACACCAGAACTGAACATAAAGAACGCTTCACTGTTAATGTCATGTTTGTAAATGCTTTCAAATTTTGTGTGAATCCAAGAAGAACTTCGACATCAGTGTCACTTCTTTCAGTTGGATCTTTTTCCAAACAATCACGGACAGTGTCGCGAATATTGGCATTTTCCATTGATTCAACGAGATCTTCTTCATCGGAGTCGACAACACTCTCAACAAGTCCCGATAAATCAACTTCTTCAGCGTCAATTGAAGAGCTGTGGATCGAAGTCATTGTATCTGATCCACTATAAGCTGAACTCGTGTCACTTGAATGACAACTTGAATGTGAATTACGATTGCACTTTTGATAGAGCTCTGGTCTCGTTGTTGAAATCTTAAATCATAATTCGTTTCAATGTTTTATGTTAGCAATTAAAAAAGAAATTTTAATATATTAGATAGCTTACGTTATCATCATTTAAAACAACATTGTAACCCGTTATAGTTTTGATTATATGAGAATGATCCATTTTCTTCAGTGTACAAAAAGTTTGTTTAGTTCCTTTCTCGCAAAATTTCTTGTCCGCCAAAAGGCCGAATAAATAGAAAAACTAGATGCATTATATAGAGAAAGTATATTAATTCCTGCTTATATTGTGATCCGAGATCTCTACAATACACTCGGTGATCTGCAATGTAATTTAAATGAAGACAAAAGTTAGAAATTCATTTTAATCTTTGTTGATGAAAATCAACAATTAAAAGTGACTGATTTCTTCTCCAATACAGCATAATTAATATAAATATGTAGTAATTTATCTTTCTTGGATGTATTTATTAATAGTCAATATTTTCAATGAAGTTTTTAAATATGTAGGTAACTGTGCAAGATATAAAGAGATTAATTTCAAATTAGAGATCGAATAACTGAATTTATCAGTACATCTACTTATTTGTATTACAAATTAGATAAAAATAAAGAACAAATGCAGCGTTAAAAATATGTAAGAAAATTTCTATTATCTCAATCTCATCAAAATATTACATTCATCATTTTCTTTCAATGTCTTTCTTTTTTGCAACATTTAAAGAAACATGAAGTCTATGGCCTGTAACCAATGGTAGGTAATAGCAGAAAAACTTGTATTTTTTATTTAGTGAAAACATTTTGAACTTAAAATTTCATGTTAATATTGAAATTAGATTTTCACCATATTTAATTCTTACAATATATTTCATTTACAACTCAGTAGAATGTTTAAAAACAGCACACCTTCACTTGTATTCCATGAGAAGTTTTTTTTTAAATTTCCACCTTCATCAAACGAATTAACAATATTAACTAGTAAAGCATAAAATTCATAAATCAACCAAGTTTACAAGCATACGTAGATATTTATATTGTTACACTCACATGCTTTTCAGATGCTCAGACGTAATGTTATCTCTTTCTTCAGATATTTAATCTTCTTCTCTTTTTCTCTTGATACATTTTACATGTTCGTGGAATTCATTGTATATGCTTTCAAAACTGTTAAAACTAAAGTATTTTCACTACAAAACCTTTTAATGTTTTACTTTAATCATGTAAACATTAAATATTTGAGATATAACTATGGTTTTGGACAAGCTTCTAATAATTCGAATTGTGTCACAATTAAAGGTGTATAATATATAATAAAAATTCTCATCAAAAATCACTGCTCTACACGATTTCAAATACTTGTTTTTTCTTTTGCTTGATTCACATAAGGTTTTTATCTAATAACACTCTTATTTTGATATCATAGTATCCTCAATTTCACAAAAATAAACTAAAAGTCAAGATTTCTCTTTAGATTGTTTTTCTCTTTTTAAGTTTGGTCGGTGGGGATATTTGCCTCAATGATGCAAAAACTCCGTTACATGACGGGCAATTCGACTACCTCGTGCAAAGAAGTTCGAAAAATTTTAAGAATTTCGATGATAACATTGTTATCTAATTCTAATGTTCTTTACTTAGCATGAGTTATTATTCCTACCTGTCATTCACTGTGTAAGTATCTTTTTATTTTTATTTTAATTCATAATCATAGAGAAAAATCGAAACTTTAATCTTTTGCGTTTTATATATTTTTCAGAAAATTGAAGAATAACGTTGAAATAATCCCAGCATTTATTAAAGGCACTATTATTAAATCTTTGACAACAATTTTTGGAGAAATAGGAGGACAAATTGAATTGGATCTTTTATCATTTAAAGATAATAAAGGAATTTTACGAGTACCGCGAGAAAGTACTTTGAAGGCAAGAGCTGCTCTAGCCTTAATTTCACAATTTCAAAATATTCCTGCTATTTTCCAGGTAACACAATCATCTGATCAGTTGATACCATTATCTTATTGTTTTATTCAAAAATAATATCAACGATGGCTTATTGCAAATCATACGGTAAAGACAAAGTTATGTTTGTAACCAAGAAGGATCATGCAGAGACAAGCAATATCAAACTTCCGGAATCGGAACCGCAACCTGGGTTGCTTTTAAGTAATGGTGACATAAATTGGAATTGTCCATGTCTCGGTGGAATGGCGACAGGTCCTTGCGGTGTTGAATTTCGTGAAGCCTTCAGTTGTTTCCATTATAGTGAAGTTGAACCGAAAGGTTCTGATTGCTACGACAGTTTCAAGACAATGCAAGATTGCATGTCGCAATATCCTGCTGTTTATAATCAGAATAAAGATGATGTTGACCCAAATATGAATCTAGATTTAAACATTGGAGATGATTTCAAAGACGAAGATGAGCCTGGATCACATTCGAACGAATACGCTGATGGAGAAGAAGATGCAAGAGCTGAGAAAAACTCTAAAGCTCTTAAAAGTATTCCGACTTGAGTGTTTCTAATAATTCAAATCTTCTCTTAGTAGAAATAGAGTTAAGCCAGAAAATGCATTCATGGAAACTTACATGAAAGTGAATTTAATAAAGTTAATAAATCCAGAATAAAAAACATTTCATTTTCTCTTATTTATCAGTTGTATTCAAGAACTTTTTTATGATAGAACAATAAGTAACCTTCACTACTTAAAACTTTCTCGATACTAAAAGGAGTGAGATTGAGATCGTCGCATTTCACCCAATGGTTATTTGAATGTCTTACAATGCTTGTATAGTGACCTGAATCGATACTTCGTCCTTCATGATTCACTACAGCATACAGAGAATACTTTGCTGAAGCACGATTCATTAGTTGATCGTTGTTTTGAGATTTTTTTAAGAATGGTGTCAAATCAAGTTCATCAGGAAAGGATATGAATGTTGATATTTTCTTTTTATCATTCTGTATAAATGGCAAAAATAAATAATTTAATATTTCTTTTTAAGCTTATAAAATGTTTCTACTTACTAATCCTGTTTGTTCGAATCGCTTTAAGTGAAAACTTGCAATAATTGGTAAAGTCTCAATACTTAATTCTTTTGTGAATTCTTGTTCAGTGTTACATTTTGAGCAAATCAATTTCGCATTAGCCCCCAGATGCTCTAGACGAGTGAAACGCTCTAAACAGTTAATAAGAGATTTTGGTTGTTCATTTAAATCAAGAGATAAATCTTTAAAAGGTTCAAATGTTGGTGAAACATGTTTGCATGTTGTGCATACTAAATCACTTAAAAGTGTTCCTGTAAAGATTTTGTCAACAATGCAATTGCAAGGATCTTGGTGTTGTGCTTTTGAACTATCCCGAAAATGGATATGAAGTAAATTTAGTGTTGCAATGAAAAATTCATGGGCATCTTGCTGCTTATAACCAGCTAAATGGCTGAAAAAAGAATTAACAATTTCAACAACAAGTAAAACTTTAAAAATTAATAATTGAATGTACCTGACGTTCTTCCATATCAAAAATAGAAGATCATGTAGTGAAATGGGGCTAGTTTTCCCTGAGTAAAACTCTTGAAATATTTTTGAAATTTCACACACCATACAGCCAGATAGTTTACAGTTGTGATTATCTGATAGAAAAAAATCTCGAAGCACAGGAGTATGAATTAAAACTTGAATTATGCAGTTCATGAAGCAAGAATTGCCTAAATTAAATAATCCTCTAAGTCCTAAACGGTTATTTTCGTTGATGAACTTCTTGGGATGAATTTGAAGAAGAGCAATTTCTTCCTCAGACGGATACCAAGGAAGAAAACTCACACTTTTCTTCAAACTTTTTGCTGCTAGTGCATTGTAGCGCTCGTTGATTTTAAGGAATTTGGAATCATAAACATAGTCATAGCAATACTAAAAATTGTAATAAAGTTATTTTATGTACATATACGTTTTTTGACTGCCAAACAATTTTACTTACAAAGCAGAATAAATGTCCGTGTGATAAATTAATAGCAACATAATGCTTTTTATTTTTGAAATGCTCAGCAATATGAGCCTTGCATCCGAAATAAATACAGTGAAGACAACCGAGAAGATTATTAGCTTGTCCACAAATATGACAAATACAAGAAAATGCCTTTATTTTCCTTTTTTCTCTTGAAAGAGAAGAAGAAAAAAACGAGTTTACGAGTTCATATGGCTTTATGCCATATTTATTATAATATTCCGAAATGTGAGAACACATTATGTCCTATATTTATATATTTCTTTAAATTTTAAAGTCACTGACTGATTACTATATTCTCACAGAATTGTTTTCAATTTAAATCTTTTAATTTTAGCTGCTGCTTGTTAGACTGTTTGTTTACTTATGAGTGTTTATATATGTATTCGGAATTCCGAAATGTTTGTTAGTAGTGATGTTCGAAAATTATATATTTCCAAAATATTTTTGAAATGTCGGACTGTCACAAATTCATTTCATCGAATAAAACGCAATTTCTATGTAATGTTAAGATATTGAATTAAACTACTCATAGTAGTGGATAGGTAAATCAATTGAAAACATTCTGTAATCAGTGACAAATTATAAATCGTTCAAGTTTCAAATTCTTTCAAATTTAAGCTAACTTTAGGCGTTGAAATTTTTATCCTCACCCACATACCTATTTTAAACGAAAATTTTTATACTGTGAAAGCTCTCTTTTTAGCAATTTGAAAGAAGATTCCAAGAAGAACAAAAAAATTAGGTTCATTAGAAACTGATTTCTCTGTTAGCAATTTGATATCAAAATGATTCGTCGAATTGGATCAAACTTTAAAATCAATGGTAAAATTATATAAAACTTTAACTTTTTGTAATAATCAACAATTTTAATTTCTATTCTTCTACTTTGAAACGAAAAGTGCTTCATCATCAAAGATGGTTCAGTTGTTCCAGTAATTTATCAAGCAACCAACCCAAAACAGCTATTCTAATGCTCAACATGGGAGGACCCCAAAAATTAGATCAAGTTCATGATTATCTTTTTAATATAATGACAGATCGTGATATGATTCAACTGCCGGTTCAGTCGAAACTTGGACCGTGGATCGCTAAAAGAAGAACACCTGAAGTCCAAAAAAAATATAAAGAAATAGGAGGTGGATCACCAATTCTTAAATGGACAAATATTCAAGGAGATCTTTTATGCAAGCAGCTTGATCAAGTTTCACCAGAGACTGCTCCCCACAAAAGTTATGTTGGTACGAAATTACATACATAAAAATATGTTTAATAAGTAAAAATGTAACAAGAATTTTTTAAAGGTTTCCGGTATGTGAATCCATTCACTGAAGATACAATTCGTCAAATAGAAAAAGAAAACCCCGAGCGAGTTGTGATATTCTCACAATATCCACAATATAGCTGTGCGACCTCAGGTTCAAGTTTTAATTCCATATACACACACTTTGCTGGAAAGAAACCTAATAATGATATTAAGTGGAGTATGATAGACCGATGGCCAACACATCCATTGCTTATAAAGACCTTTGCTGAGCGCATTAAAGATGAACTGAAAGAATTTCCTCAGGAAAAGCGGAAAGATGTAATTTTACTTTTCTCGGCACATTCACTTCCATTAAAAGCTGTTAGTCGAGGTGATGCTTATCCAAGTGAAGTTGGAGCGAGCGTTAATGCTGTCATGCATGAACTCGATTATTGCAATCCATACTCATTAGTATGGCAATCTAAAGTTGGGCCACTTCCATGGTTGGAGCCATTTACAGACGATGCGATTAAAGCTTATGTAAAGAAAGGCAAAAAAAATTTCATTTTGATTCCAATTGCATTTGTCAATGAACACATTGAAACACTTCATGAACTTGACATTGAATACTGTCAAGAATTGGCAGAAGAAGTAAAAGCTGAAAAAATTAGAAGAGCTAAAGCTCCAAATGATCATCCACTTTTCATCGATGCGTTAACTGATATCGTGAAAAATCATTTAAAAAGCAACAGAAACATAAATCCAAAATTTCTGACTCGATGTCCTCATTGCACCAATGAAAAGTGTTATAGAAGTAAAAAATTCTTTGCAGATTTGTGTGCATAATGTGTGATGGTCGATAGAAATTTACAATAAAACTTAAAGTAGCTAAGTTGTTTATTAAATTACCTAAATGATCTTTACTTTGATAAAATTACAATGAGTTAATTTTCAGGTTCTTCTTCAATTAAATATCTAGAACATTTCAAATATCTTAAAATTTTTACACCCATACATGCAAACTTTTTTCATCTCATACTATTTTTTATTATAAATAAATGTTATTATAAGGAAATCTTACTCTACTCTTCCTTAAATTAATTACATTGATACCTTAATATCTACAAAAATAAATAATCTCTTTGTCGATCTTGATTTATTCAAGATGTGAACTTACTTCTGAAACTTACTACTACTAGAATTTAAAACACATTTTGGGAAAGTTGTTTCACAATTTGCACCTCTTTTGGCAGCAACGATGGCATCATTCATTGGTGATGATGAAGTTAACTGTTGGATCATTGTAGAGCTTAAAAAAGTTTATAAATTAACTCAATTTTGTTAAATTTGTGTTCATCAATTCTTACCTTGCCAGATCAGTAATAATGTAATCGAAATTTTTTGCGTTCTTATCATAAATATTCGCAAAACTTTCCTTCACTTGCCAACAAACCGCACGTTTCATACAACTTCTTGAATCTATTCCATTTTTATGAAGCGATTTGTCGATTTGATTCAAAATTCTCCACCATAAATGATTTTCTGTACCATTATTACCAATGAACAATAAAAATTTTCTTCATAGAACGATTAAAATAAATTTAAAATGATTCACCTCTAAAACTATCATGATCGTGATACCGTAACCACGGAAATTTACTTGGATCAGAACCGCCTACGGTTTTCTTTAACATTGTAAGTGCACCATATATAGCAGTACTTATTAATGACAAAATGAAGAATACGAAAAATCCAGTGTTGAGATTTGCTAGAGGGAAGGTCTGAAATATTTTTGTCTTATATTTTATTCATCTTACTGAGAGCTTTATTTAAATATATATAAATTCACTTTTTTTCCACCTAAAACACTGTCAAGAGATTTTCGTACAGGAATCGAAAGCAAAGGTATTGAAAAATCGAGTTCCACTTCAATGTTATCAGCTGTTTGAAAACTTATAAACTTTGGTTCTCTCTTTGAAGGGATTCCATTGTAGTAATAGTTAAAAGCTTCATCAAATTCCTTCTTGTTATGATTTTTTTTACTGCGTGTTTCAACCAATGATTCGTTAAATGATCTGTTGTTTCTATGCTCACTTAGAACGGTTTGATTAAAATCACTGAGATATCCTTGGACTAAAACTACTGATAGAAGTAATAGCAGCACTGAATATTCCATTGTTACAATGTGTGTCCAAAATGTATAAATCAGACTTGTTGAACTTTCTTCGTGCTCTAAGATCTCTAACAAAACAAGTAAGCGAATTTGATCTTGATCACTCACGAGGCTCCCAAAGAATGATTTGTACAAAAGAAAATAATTTAAAAAAAAAATCATAAAACACTTTTCAAGAATTAAAAAATAATTAAAGTTTGAACAACATTGATTTCGAAACTTCAAAATGAAAGTTTATGAAACGCTTTTGTCTTATTTTTCTTCATACAAATATTAGTATCGAAAATATTTTGACATTCCAAGTATCAATTAAATCTTAATCTATTGTTATGAAGTTGAACATTTTTAATTATTTTTTCATGGTGCAAGAATGGGTTACCAAATTCAAATCGTTTTTCAATATGCGTTTTTCTAAATAAATTTTAAGATATGGTTAAACAAAGATAAAATAGTAATTAACATGAATTTTAAATCTATGCATGACTTATGTCTTATATATTATGTATTTCATGACAGTCATTAAATAGCAGAATGAAATGTTTAGGGTAAACATTTGACTCATGCAAACTATAAGTGAAATTTATCGAACTTCAAATCAAATAGGAACCCTTGGGATGAACTCTTCTTTATTCTATCTCTTTATGATCTCTTAAAGAAGAAACAAAAGCATAAAGTTGAAAAATTTAAATTCCTGCATAGTCTTGAATTTAATATACATATTTTAATATTTCAATTGAGTTTGATTTGTACAAGAAAACTCTGGAATTTGCTAAAATCATTAAATAGCGGTCCCACAAGGAGATCTTATTTATTAAAAAAATAAAAACAATTAAAATTGTCCAATCTCGTCTTTTGATCATTTAAATATGAAACCAACAAACACAAACCTAAATTGATATAATCATTTAGTCAGATAGCCTTTTACTTTTTATTCACAAATAATCTCTTTCAGTTTAAAAATTTACTTAAATAAAGCTTATTTTCGAGAAGCAAATTTGATGATACTGTTTGTGAAATTCACCAAACTACTTGAACTTAAGACACAATTGGGGAAAGTTGACATGCAATCAGCATCTTTTCTAGCAGCAATGATGGCATCATTCCAAGATGTTGATGAAATAAACTGTTGGATCATTGTAGAGCTTAAAAAGTTTATAAATTAACTCAAATTTGTTGGATTTTTGTTAATCAATAGTTAATCATTATCTAACCTTGCCAGATCAGTAATAATGTAATCAAAACTTGTTGCGTTCTTATCATAAATGTTTGAAAGACTTTCCTTCACTTGCCAACATGTTGCACGTTTAACACAACTTGCTGTATCAACTCCATATCTATGAAGCGTTTGGTCAATTTGGTTTAAAATCTGCCAACTTGAATGATTTTCTGCATCATCATTTCCTGAAAAGATTAAATTTATGATTTTAAAATGAAATCAATGTGACAATATTTACCTTTTCGACTTTTATGACCATAATAAGGCAGCCATGGGAATTTGGGAAATATGCTAATATCAGGATTGGCGCCATCTTCTCCTACGTTTTCCTTAAGAGTTGTTGTTCCGCCAAAAATTGCAACTGCAAACACCGAGATGACGAAGAATATAACAACTCCAATATTAAGATTTCCTAATGGAAAATTCTGAAATATTTTTATGTATTTTTAATTATATTTACTTGAGAACTTTGCGTAAGCTTATCAAAAGAAAGTTTTGAAATAAATAGCGGTAGTTGAAATATTTTCCAACTTACTTTTACTGCACCTAAGACAGTATCAATAGATTGTCGCACAGGAATCGAAAGAAAAGGAATTGAATAATCGAGTTCAATTTCTATGTTGTCATCAACAGTTTGAAAACTTATGAACTTTGGTTCTCTCTTTGAAGGGATTCCGTTGTTGTAATAGTTAAAAGCTTCATCAAATTCTTTCTTATTATGATTTCTTTTACTGCGTGTGCCAATTAATGATTCGTTAAATGATCTGTTGTTTCTATGTTCACTTAGAACGGTTTGATTAAAATCACTACGATATCCTTGGACTAAAACTACAGATAGAAGTAATAGCAGCACTGAATATTCCATTGTTACAATGTGTGTCCAAAATGTATAATTCAGACACGACTTGTTGAGCTTTTTTTTTGCAATAGAGATCTCTAACAAAACAAGCAAATGAATTTGATCTTGATCACTCGCGAGGCTTGGCAAGAATGATATCTTCACTCTCTGTATCAAAGGTTAAAAAAATAAATATCATAAAATATTTTTCATACATTAGATGCCTTAATAACCAAAGCGTTGATAATTTAAACTGAAATTTATGAAAAGCTTTTGTCTCCATTTTTTCCTTAAAAATTTCTATTGACTTGAAATTTCCAAAACATTTATTCATTAATCTTTAATGTTAAGCTTTTGTTTTAGAATAGAAAACATTTCATTGTTTTCTTTGTTGTTTGACTCTTTCATGGTTGCTTGCCAGTTTTTTGTTATTTTTCACTATTCGAGGTGAATGGAATAATACTTAAGAAACGATTATCGAAGAAAATTGGTTAACATGGATCCCATATAAGTTCTATATCATCATAATAAATTGATGTATTTTAGCTTGCTTTTACTCAGATATTTTAACCTTCACGAATTTATTTTACAATCATAAATGCATGTATTGTTGACTTGGAGGTTGCGGAGTAAGCATTCAAACTTATCGAGTTTCAAGAGCAGACAAACTTAAATGCAGTATTGAATTGCTTTCAAAGATGTTACAAATATGAACACTTCATTACAATATTATATGCAAAATGGAGTTGGAAATTCTAAAAGAATTCATTTGAAAGAATTTATAAAGATTTTTTATGATTTCAATTAAATTTTCTTCAATAAATTGAAACAACACGAAATTGAATTAATATGTTGAACATAGACGTTTATTTAAAACATTAAGATTTTACAAAACATAATATGATACATAAAGTAATGACATAGCTTGATAATTATCTAAAAATAATCATGAGCGTAACGTTGATGTAATTTCGTTTTGGAATTAGGTATTATGATGAAATATCAACAAAAAAAATACATAGTTACATATTTAATGACTTTCTTGTTCTTTTTCACCTCTGTTTTAATTTCAATGAATTTTTATTTCTAAACGGCAGACGCAAGCTCAAAGATTGTTCGTAACCAGAAAAAGAAATGGAAATCACTTTTGTTAAGCGATTGTTTAGAGTTGCAAAGTGTGACAAGATTTTCATATAAATTTTACACTGATATCAAATTTGTTGCATTTTATTTCTGACAGTTACTGAAAGCAGACAAGAAAAAGTTAAAAAATGAAGTTAAGCAAATTAATTGGATTGACTTATGTGGCAGTGATTTTAATGCTGCTGTGCCATTTTGCTGCTGCAGTTCCGAAGCAATATGATGGAAATGACCAATCTTCAAACAGTTATCCAAATAATAATTGGAGACGACGAACCAGTGTTAATGAAACGGAAAGTGCTGCATCAGAACGGTTACAAAGACTCGGATCTATTGGAGGTTTAACTACAGGATATGGGAATACAGTTGGGTCTTACGGTTACGGAAGTGGTATTGCAACACCATATGGAAAACCTGCAATCGAAATTGGTGCTGTCATCTTGGGAGTCATCATTGGAATCGGAGCTTTGTTAATCCTTCCAAAAATTGCTGCAGTCATTGTCGGGCATGGAGCTCTTGGAGGATATTATAGAAGTAAATACATATGTTTATAAAATTTAACTTCATATCACAAAACATTATCAACCTATTTTTTCGCAGCAAATGATGAATCAGGAATTGCTGACATTATGAATAAGTTTGATGATTTCCTTGCACAACATAATATTGACTCAAATGCATGCATGCAGAAAGCAGTTTGCCACTTCGTACGTTCTGCTGATTATCATACCAGTGTTGGAACTGCTGATCAAATGGAAGCTATGATTTCATCAATCTCAGAGTAAGAAATTTCAATTTATAAAAAATTCCTGAATCCAAAAATATTTTTTATTACTAGAAACTCAATAATTGATTATGTGTTGGATGGAACTGCAATAAAAGATGCTATTGAAAATGGTAAAAACCCAACAGGAAGAGAATGTGATTCCATATATCAAGCTTGTCCATTAGATCGGCAATCAGCACTTCAAATGATGAAGAAATTCCTCCCTCTGCCTGGAAAAGTTCAAGCTAGTTCATGAACGTAAACCAACCACTCTACAATCAATGGCGACACATTTACATAAACACAATTGATAAACTTCTTGTGATTGTCAAAAATAGTTCAATTATTTCATTATAACAATTGCATCATTTTAACAAAACACATTAAAGAATTTATATGATGGAATATGATCAATTTAATCATTTCACTTCACATATTCTTAATAACATTAGGTATAGTATTCCTTTATTTATATTGTAGATAATGAAACATTTTTCAAGGCATTTTAATAAGCATTGCTTATGTCAAATATGTAGATATTAAATACTTACATATAATGTTAAATAAAATGAAGAAATATTTGAAAGCATTAAATTAAAAGATTTTTTCTATTCATTCATAATAAAACTTGTATTTGATTAATTGATTGTGGCATCAAATTTTTGTTTATTATCTTGGTCGATGAAGCGATAAAAGCTTATCTAATCTCTCATTAAATGAATGAGGTCATAACTAAATATATGTCACATAATCAATAATAAATGTCACACTATCCTTATAACTAACTTGAAGCAGCTTGAGAAAAAAACAAAATATACCTAATATATATTATTTCATAAGTAAACCAAAAAAAATTGATAACTAAGAAACTTTCTATAATATCATTACAATATTAAGTTAGTGCTCGTAGCAAAATATATCTACATGAGCACATCTGTTTTTTCGTAGGTTCTATTGTAGTCTATTCTATTGTAGTATGAATTAATAATAAAATTGTTGAAATATTTGAAAGAAATTTAATAAAATATATTACATAAATTAAATCATTTTGTTAATCAAAATACAATTTCTCGCTTTCTTATTTAATTCAATAGTACATATATGCATGCATATGTGCACGCATGGAAAGATAATCTTTATTTAATAAAGTCTTTTTCCGAATGTTAACGGAAGTAGACAACATTTTAACACTCGGTTTAACAGAGTAGTTGATTCGCAAATGCAAGTAATGTCTCTTTTTGACTTTGAAGGTTCAGTTTATATCAAGACGACATCCAATAATCACCCTTTAATATATCAAATAGTTTTGAAATGTATTTTTTTCTAAGTCTTGCATTTTATGCCATAGTTTTGAAAAGTGAAGCATTTGATATTGCAAAAAATTCTAGTCATGAAAACTTTGATAGAATTATTATTATTGGAGACACAAAACTTAATCATTCTTATCGCAATGGACGCCAGGCTTTAAAAGATACACAATTTATCGGATTTAAAATCACAGATGAAGACATTGGGGTAAATTGGAAAAACATAAAAACAAAATGTTAAGAAACTTTTGAACATATATGCTTGTTGTTTGATTTAAAGGTAAATTTTGAATATGCAATCCCGTTCATTACAATAATAACAAGAAGAGGTGAAACTGCCGGTCAACCTTTTTTAAATGTTAATTTAGGAGGTAAACTTTACATTATATAGAACTTTATGATTTTTATAAGTTATGCTTGAAAATTACTAGCGGTGTTCACTGGTGTGATCATCACAATTGTTGGAAGTCTCTTCAGTGGATTCACAAGATTCCTTCGAGGAGAAAAAGTTTTCAGCAGTAAAACATTCTTCAGAAGTAAAAAGAACAAGATTCCTCTAGGACGAAGTAAGATTTATTTAATTTAATGTATCGGAACATAACATGTCACTTATTGAGGATATTTTTCATAAGATTTCGATTATGATTTTGATGAAAGGATATGGGAAACGTTTAACCATATGGATGAAGAACTAATGAATATTGATATCGATGTAGTTTCTTGTAGTCAAAGAGCAATGTGCGATTATATCAAAAGTAGTCTAAGAAGCAATGAGAGTAGCCATGGTTTTGAAAAGTTAATTGCCGGAATTATTAAGTATGTACATATTTAAGATTGAGAAACTGTAAGAAAGATTTTATCTTAAAAGCAAATTTCATTTATTTTAGCACAAAATTTGTTGATCGATTCATTAATCATAAATATTTGATGAATCCCATTGAAGTAGCCAGAAGTCAATCCTACTGTGAAACTTCATTCAGTAGCTGCAGACTGCAAAAAGGAAATAAGAATAAAATAATTAGAAAAATTCAACGATATGTGAAACCTAAAAAATGTACACGCGCAAAGAGATTTGGATCAAAAAACCCTAGTTTTGAAAACTTTGATAGAAATGTTGTTATTGGAGATACACAACTTGATCATTCTTATCGGAATGGACGCCAGGCTTTGAAAGATACGCAATTCATTTCTTTTAAAATCACAGATGATGACCTTCCGGTAAATCTGAATAACATAAAAAGTTAAGAAACCTATAAACAAATTTTATTTCATTTAAAGGTTCTTTTTGAATTTGCTGTCCCATTTTTATCAGTACCAACAAGAAGAGGTGAAACTGGCGGTCAACCTTTTGTAAATATTAATTTAGCAGGTAAAATAAATTTAATATGTAGAACTTCATTATTTTTATTTTTATAAATTATTTTTGAAATTAATAAGCGATCTTCACTGGTGTGATCGTCACAATTATTGGAAGTTTCATTGGTGGATTCACAAGATTCCTTCGAGGAGAAAAGCTTTTCAGTAATAAATCATTCTTCAGGAGTAAAAATAAAATTCCTCTAGGACGAAGTAAGATTTATTTAATTTAATTTATCGGAACATAAAATGTCATTTATTGAGGATATTTTTCATT